GAGGAAGTGGCTATTATACCTGAAGATGTTTTCAGTGAGAGTAGTCCATTTGCACCTCGTTATTTTGTTAAACCAGAAGCACCTAACAAACCAACGGATTGCAATCCAGGTGAACGTGGTATTACTTTTCCAACATCAGACAAGGCTTTTATTATAATTTTTCCATTAACAACACCTGCTGTAGTGAAATCTGTTCGTTTACCAGGAACAAATAATGTCGATCAAATTCGTGTTATGTTTTTGGATGAACATGATAACCCAATAAGTGGTCAAGTAACAGAGAATGTTCCATTACAGATAACTTCTAAACTGGAAAACACACCAAGTATTAAACCTGATTCTCCAAAGAAAGCTAGTGCGGTTCATATTACATTGTTACATACGAAGAATAATAAACCACCGCAAGGTGTAACAGTGGAAATCATCGTTTGTGTTGAGTCGACGAAAACAACACCGAAACCGTCTGTAACGACGCCTCATACAGGTGCTACGTCCTATACTAATGACACATCTCCACCATCAAGTAAGAATATGAATTCATAGAAATATTTAATTCTATTTTCATGTTTATAGATACTGCCGATTTATGCAAACCCAAACGAAATCCTGCTGCTCTAGTTACCATGGGTCAATGCGTTTCACAACACGAAATCCAACAAGATTCATGTGGTGGCTATTGTACGTCATTCGAACAAATGGATCCACTCAGTGGAATTATCGCAGAAAAAGAATGTTTATGCTGTGCACCAGATTCAACTTATTTGGAATCAATAGTCATGAATTGTCATAATCCAACGACAGGTGTAACTGAAGAAAGAACATCTCAAATAGTTCGTATTCGATCATGCAAATGTAACATGTGCCTAGGATCTGCAGGAAAATCTGATACCAAGGATATCACATCATATGAAGCACTCGTTGCAGCAAATAGTGCAAAGGCAAAAACAAAAACACGACGACGTTAATTTACAAACACAAACTTTTAACGTTTTAAGTAATGATCTATAGGTGATAGGATACTATGATTTAAATATATATATATGTATCATTACAACTAATTTGATTTATTTGTTTGTTCGTTTTTTCTCTCCTCAATCGAAATATTATTCAATTGTCTAAAAAATGTATTTATTCGATAAAATAAAAATTCATTTTATGAGTGACTAAATTGAACTAAATGCATAAACTATGATATATAAGACGTTATGATGTATATCGATAGATTGTCTTCTCTTATAAAGTTTCAAATATTTTAAAGGTTTCGTTTAAAACTTGAAATTTATCTTAAAAGTTCAATAATTTGGTTAAAGATTAAATTAAAAACAATTTGCATAGTGCATTATGCACATGAACATTATTTCATCTAATACTGTATGCATATATTTTTTTTTGCATCAGTGTCCATATTTACTGTTACTTTTCGTTGCTTCTTAACAAATGAACGAAAGCTCATGGATAATAGAAAAAAAATGAAATCAAAAGCAGAAATATATGAAAATTGAGAATGACAAGTCAACAAAAAAAAAACAGGAAATAATAGCTTTTCTTGCGCAATATCATAAAAACATTCGAATAAGAACTAACATATAAAAAGAGAAAAAGACGGTTTGTCAGCTTCTATATGAGAAGAAAAATAGAAATTTGACACAGTTTACATGAAACCAATGCAGTCAGTGATTATTCATTCTCAAACATGCATAGGTTTCATATTTATTATACAATGCTACATTCTATCAAATTTGTATCACACGTCAAGACAGACAAGTACAACATGCAAATATTGACACTTTCTTTTTTATATCTGAAGGTGAAATTCGACACTGTATTACAATAAGAGTCGAATATAGAAGAGAAAAAGACTTAACCCTGAGCATAATATTAATATTCGAATGCTTGTTGTTGTGTAATATCACCTTGCTCGATATTATTCGATAAATAAAAAGATTGAATAACTTTTTTTTTATGATTCCATGGTACAAATATTCGTGATACATGTGTTCTTTGATCTACATCAGCAGACTGACTACGTTGTCGATTCAATAGTTTTTCGTTATTATTATTATTATTATTATTATTTAAATTATCATTTGAACTAAAAATTAAAGCATTACGAAGTGGTTGTCGATCTTCATTTATATCATAAACGACAGTATGAAATTCTCGTGGTACTTCCCATTCAATTTCATTTAATTGACTAACGCTGGCAAAACGCATTCGATTTGGTGTAGATAATAAAGTTATTGGAATATTTGTTGTAATAATCGATTCCATTGGAGTAGTTTTTTCAATAGCACTGGTTGGATAATCAATTGATATCGATTCATCTGTATTTATTTTGACTGAAGTTCGAGGTGACTCATCATATTTTGATGATGTTCGACTGCGTTCTGCTTGAAAATATGGTGTTGTTAATAGATCAAGTGGTGATGGTGTTGTGCTTGTATTAATTTTAAGGATAGATTTAGGCATTAATGTTGAATAATTTCCACCAAATGATTCAGTTGATGTATCTTTTCGTTGTGTATATGAATGAAACATATCAGAATGACGAAGAGGATGAAATTGAAAGTTTACTAATTCATCATCGTCATCATCATCATCATCAGCATCATTTTCTTCATTTTTAAAATGATCATCGTTATCGTATTCATTTCTATATTGATGAAAATCGATGACAGTTGAACGAGGAGGTGGTGATGGTTGACGTGTATAAAGATAATCATCTATTGGATAAGAACGCATTTCATAGTCAGCTGGAGATAGTTGTGCAGTATTTATTATACCAGTTGATGTTAGTGATGGTGGTGGTCTTAGTTCAATCCAATTCGAATGTTGAATTGCTGAAGGGGAACGAGTAGGAAGAGAAGTGGGAGTTGGTGAAATAATTTCATCATCGCTATTATCATGATAGAAACCAAAATTTTGATTTCCATTATCAATATGTATAGGAGGATTTTGTTCTCGAATAGTACCAACAACTGCTAGTTCGTCAGCATGTGGCGGACGAAGAATTATCGACTGAAATTGTGAAGATGTTCCACCAACGCCTTGTAGATATTCAAATTCTTCTCGCTGTAAAGAAAAAACAAGCAATGTTTATGAATCAAAATAAAATTTTATTTTGTATTACCTTGACATAAAATCTTTTTGGCTTAATACGATTGAAACAGAACCGGCATAAACAGATGATAACTAAAATTTCAAATAAAAGTATGGAACATATTGCCCATAAAACTAAATTTGTTTCCAATTGGTTCATCGTCTATCGACGAGATAAATAATAGATAATCCCTTAAATAGAATAAAACGAATACAATCAATTGTAAATTAACAACTATAAGTTTGTGAATTGCGTAAAAAAAAAAGGTAAGTTACATGAATGAGAAGGTTATCTCTAGTTATTGATCCGTACATGAGTCAAAAATGTTATATATCAAAAAAACAACTATGAATGTCTTTACATTTTAAAGACAATCACACATATAAAATAAAAGTCGATACTCAATAGGCATTGGTAGGTGATCATGAAGTTGAATTAGCAAATAAAATAAAATATACATATATATATATCTCTAGATATGTGTATGATGCAATTCGTATTGAGTATTTTTACCCTGAAGCCTATTTGAACAAAAAAACGGCTGATCGAATTTCGATGAGTCTGTTTTCAAAACGAATTTGTCATAAATATAAGATCGATTGTAGGTGTCCGAATGCACACGCGTTCTCTTTCTACTTCTGACCATACTGATCAAATTTCAAAAGTATATAGAAGTGCAAATAAATAACTTCAACACATCTATATTAATGTGAGAGAATAGAAGTGGCCAAACGATGATAGTCTATCATGATCGTTACAAAAATAAAACTTGATCTTTTGTATTATACAAATTATATATTAAATTAGAAAAGAAAAAAAGATTAGTCCTATTCGAATCTTTATCTAAATTCAATTTGATACAAACTAGAATAAATCTGTTCGTAATTTGATGTCAAAAAAGTCGACATATTCAGTTTTTTTTCTTCTTCTTTCTCTCTATTCTCTTCTTTATTGTTTTTCTTTTTTCTTATACAAAAACGATACATTCAATTTTGTCACTATTTCTTGTTACGATATGGTTTACATTTAATCCGCAATTGCAATTATTTCACACACGTGAAATATGTAAGCATATTCTTTACTCTTCGTTTCTCAACTTTCTTTCTATTGACTGTTACATAGTTTTGATTACATTGAATACATCTTCTTATATTATTTAACTACTCGTCAAAAACGATTACTTTTCTATATCATCATTTACAGATAAAACTACATGACAAATGTGAAAATCATACAAAAACATTTAAACAATGAGAGAAAAAAATAATTTTTTTTTTTGACTTACGTTTTTCTTTTTTTATTCAATTGATGTTATTCTCTAGTTTTTGACATCTTTTCTTTTCTATATTCTAATGTGCCATCTAATAACTTTTTTTTATGTGCTCACCTGAGCATCATTAGCATTCATAAAAAAATAAAAACCCTAACAGGCATTCATCATCGACAAGAAAAATGAAGGAACAAAAAAAGAACAAAAAGAAAAAGATTAAGTTAAGCATATAGATTTTCTGCTTTCTGCATCCGTTATTATAATAAACAGGAGAACATTTTTTTCTAAATATTATCAATTCTTTCATTTTTTTTCAAAGAAAACACTTACATAAATTGATTTTACCACAAGACGATACATTGAAAATGATAAGAAAAATATTTGAATAGGAATAATTTGTATGCCATGCGAAAGTGAGTTGACTTTTTATTGTATTTTAATTTGAATCAAAGCATACCTGCGCCTAAAGCTAACTTGAAATTTTGCCACATATCTAACAAAAGAATTTAGATGCAAATATTAATAAAAGAAAAGCATACTACTAGTAAGTAGATGAATGAGTAAGAGAAATAGGTAAGAGGAAGAGAAAAAGAAAAAAAAATATTTGTAAGCGTGTGTGCATGCGACTTCTTCATCGTTCTCGTCCGGCACATTTTCTTTTTTTTTATATACGTTAATAATAAAGTTCAGATTTTATAACGATGAACGAGCCAAGTAACTTGTCTGTCAAAGAAGAGAATGTCGATGCTGAGAGAACGGACCAATTGTCCAATTATCGGCTCTGATACGGTAAACGAGGTGGAAAAAGAATCATAAAGAAAAAGAGATTGAGAATGTTGTTCAAATATAAAAAACTCTTAGGTATTATAAAATTTCTTCATTCAATTGTCAATTTTAACTATAAAATAAATAAAGAATAGAGTTGTTATATTAGAAAAGATTAACGATTATATATATATTCATCTCAATCTCCTCCTTTTTTTTCTTATTATATGCATGGCATAACGTCATGAATAGAGAAAAAAAGAAAAATGGCAAAAAAACAGAACAAACCTTCATGCACACCTTATATTGAAGGTCATTCATTAGTATTAATGTTTTTCATACATATATTTTCTAAATGAATATTGATTTTTATTAATAAATATTAGTAAGCCTTTGAATTTCAAATGAACTGTACATGATATAAATTTGATTTAGTCGTCTGCCTTTATTATAGTTACTTCGACTGTTATTCTCTCTGTCTACCGACTATGTTCTTGAAATTTGAATGAGTACTAATAGAGAAAAGAAATACATTATATTCTTCTTCTTCTTTCTGCCGTCTCGAAAAAAATTAATGTCTTATTAATCGATCCCGCACTATGCAAACCAATACGTGCCTGTATCATAATTAGAGAATCAACGAAAGAAACGAGAATATACGTATACATACACATACACCATGTCAAGCACTCATTTGTTCGTTCGATCAAATGGGCTTAGTAAAAAAAGCATTGACATTTCAACAGACTTGATGACATCATCTTTCTTTTAGTCTTGTTCACATATAAATCATTATTGATCACCTATATATGCATATATGTATACATTTGAATATACGTAGACAAGATTGTTTGTTTATTTAGACAAAAACAATAAATGAAATGTTATACACAAAAAGAGAAAGGAAGAGAATGAATAGATATTGTTCAAACAGCTGTACCACGTTCCAAATTTTGCTTGATTTCGGCGGTATATTTTCCATAATAACGTTCGATCTTCTTATTAAATGATCTATTACGTTCATTGATATAATCAATATCAGCATCGATATCAAATGCACGTCGTCGAGAAAATTTTCCACGTTTAGAATATTGTTGTTCAAGATCTTCAACCATACGATTAACAGCTTTTTCACTTGGTTTATGTGTACCATGAATCATTGAACCTGATGTTGCATAATAATCTTCACCTCTACAATTTAAATAGATATACATATAAGTGTGATGATTTATCATATAAATGATAAACATACAATTCTTCTTTCTGTTTATTACATGCTTCCATATCAGGTTTTATTTGGGCAGTCAATTTTGTATAAGAACGATAAGTGCATTGTTCATAATCTATAAATAAATATATATTTAAAAAGTAAGAGACCTTCGAATGTCATAAAAATAAGACTTCTATTTAATGATACAATAAACTACTCGATAACTGCTAATGGAACAGAATAAAGAATGTCAAATGATTGATATATTTTGACATAGATATAAATACGTTTCTTTAGGTCATTATTTTTTTTTTATATTTAACTTACTATCAAAGCCAACATCAGGATTTTTTTTCTTGCGTTTTTTTTCCCATTTATCACAATCTTCAGCTGTCCATTCTAATTGTTCAACACGTTCATGATCTAGACCAGAATCAGTAATTTCACGTCGTCGTTTTGTTTGTTCCTCTTGTTTTTTAACACGTTCAACACGACGTTCATAATTTGTTGGAAGATCTTTACGATGATCTTCTTCAATTACTTCAGCATGATTTAATTTACGAGCTTCATTCTATTAATTACAAAATAACAAAAGGGAATTTGTTTTTAAAAATATCTACATACACGTCGTAAGTGAAGTTCTTTTAAACGTGCCAATCGTTCCGTACGTTTACTATCTGCATCATTCGACGATTTTTCTTTATCCATCTGAAATACAAGAATTCAAATAAATGATCTATTCTATTTAGAAAAACTATCTTGTTGTTCTTCTTTATCTTTTAATATATCAAACAATTTATGGTGTGTAAATAAAGGAGAAGATTTTCCTAAATCACATATAGATAATTGTGTTAATGGTAATGATGAAGTTTTACATATGGATAAAATTTGTAAATAACGTTGTATACATTCATCAATAGATTTTTCATCTGATTTATCATGTTCAATAGAATCTTGAATAGTTATAGATAATTGTTGAAAATAATTTGATGAAAAAAGATTCTTTTGAAATATATTATTTTGTTGTAAATTATTAGTAATAATTGAAAATAAAAATGATAGAATTGATGTATGAAAATGATCAAGATGTAAACGTAATGATGATGATTCAAATGAACGAAGAGGAAATAAAATATTCAAACGAATCATTGAAGGAACAAAATTAAATAATGATGAATTACCTATTAACAAAAAAGAAAAAGAAATTATACTATATGACATCCGTTTATGTCTAGTTATTTGAGAAAATTTGTTTTCCAAAACGTATACAGAAATTTTAAAAATGCTACGTATATCTCATATAAAAGAAAAGATCTTTTTTGTTTTACTTTCTGCAATGAATTCCTGTTGTAAAGTAACAAGCAATAGATTCGTTGAATTTGTTAATCCATAGGTAAGTAATTCAATAAGTCTTTGAATAATTTTTGTATCAATTAAAATATTATCTTTATCTAATATAATACATGTATGATTAATAAAACATAATGTAAATAATGGTGATATTAAACAAAGATTATTAATTGATTTTGTTATTGCTAATGCTATATGTTCATGTATAATATATTCAATAATTTTTGTTATTAATGTATCAATTGTTTTTGATAATGTTAGAAACCATCGTGCAATTATAGTTAATGTTGGTTTTGATTCAAATGATAGAATAAGTGAAAGAAATTTCAATAATAAATTATAATAAAGTGTAAATAATGGATGATCTTGATCAGATATTATATCAAGAAATATAATATCAAAAACACGTGTTGCAACTGTTAAATCAGATTGTTTCTCAAGAAATTGTCTTATTATATCAAGTGTATGGAGTTCTTGTATATTATTCAATGTTTTTCTCCATGCAGGTTGAGATGGATTTGTAGTTGTAGTTGTTAATGAATGACAAAATATAAAGCGATTTGCTAACATAGATAAATCTTTACGTGTAAACATTGTACATTCACGTATAGTTAAAAGTGCTGCTTCAACAGATGCTGGAAATGCATGTTGAAGTAATAATTGTGTAACATGTTCAATAGTTAAATGTCCACTATCCATTTTTAACAAAAAAAAAAATATCTAGAATATAAAGAAAAACAATGATAATAAAACGTTTCTTCAAATGGAAATAACAAATAATTGATTATCAGTCAAAATATATGCGCGTTCATTTGTTGTAATAATTCCAAGAATTTCATCATGATTTTCAAGTGATATCATATGTTGTTTTGCAATACTTTCAACAAGTTTGCCAGTCTTTCGATTACGTAATGATGAACCAGCAAGATTTGATGCAGGAGCTTGTTGTTTATATAGATATAAATGTGTAGATATATCAGATATCAATGCATATGAATAATCAGACGGAGTCGAAAGAAATTTACGATTTTGTTTCGATGCTTGAACATAACCAAAAGCATTTAATGTAGCTTCATGATTCCAAGGTGCTTGCTCATTAGATGTTATAGAATTTATTTGCCAAATAAGTCCATCAACCTAAAGTAATATAAAAAAAAATCTTATTATTGACAATATAATTTATAACCATCAAGCATTTTGTTCTTTTAACCTGACATAAACATCTTACAATGCACTTATTCAAAGTGCATATATGAATATAATAGAGGATAGAATGAGGTCAAAAAAAACATTAGAGGTATACTCCTATTACAGAGTTTATAATATCGAAATGTTTACAATAGAGAAATCATTCTATTAAATCTAGGATTATACTATAAATTACATACATCATGACGAATACATAATAATGGTGGATCTAATTTTGTAAATAGAATTTGATTATAAATCAATGCTTGATGTGTTATACGATGTGTATCACCATCAAATCGTACTAAAAATGTATCGGTTTCATTTGCATATTGATCACATTCTTCAAGTTGTTGACTATTATAGGGTTGTTTAACTTCATCATCATCATCATCATTGTTAGTGTTATTTATTTCAGGTATATTACCTGTTTTAATATCACCTGATATAGTTTGACCTTCTTTAAAGACTTCATTCCAAAATGAACCAATATTTGTCTTATGTAGAGTTATTATTAATTGGTTATTTTTATCCTTAGTAATTACATAAGAACTTTCTTTTGGATCAATATTATCAGAAAGTTTTGCATCGATTAATACAGTATCGTTCATTGAACATTTAAGATGATCAGATTCGATAATAACTGACCATTGTTGTGAATCATTTGTATTCGAATCAATTTCGATTTCAATAGTACTATGTGATTGTGACCAAACATAATGAAGAGGTGATTCAATCTTTTCAAGTACTGGTTCTTTTGGAATTTCTTCTGGTTTAATCTATTAAAAAAATTCTTTCAAAATTATATAATTTCTTTAAAAACTTCAATGAATTACCTCAATTAAAGAATCAAATTTAAATTTGTATAATCCTTCAGCAGTTATATATAGTCCTTGTCCATTGGCTTCAATGGCCACAAAATCTGGCCATTTCTTTCCATTTAATATTCGTTTTCTTGTTAATTTAATTTCATTAGATGATCCTATTGAAAATGTTACCCACAATAAATGACAATCTGTTTGAATAAAACCAAGTATTACATGTAAATAACCTTCATGACTAATAGCATGTAATATTCGTATTGGTGATGTAACAGATTCTTCGAAATCTTCTTCATATAAAAGTTTCCATTTCGAATTATTTGTATTTAAGATAAATATTTTTGAACGACCATCACATAAACAAACAAGTGAATTTGTTAGAAAAAACATTGATCCATTTAAGGAATTTTTTGGTAATTGATAAACATTTATTGGTTGTTGTAAATGTGATAGAGATTGATCTGATGAAAGATTGATTTGTTGTATGGAATGCATTTGATCAATAAAATACAAATCATTATTATTCATATAAAGTTTATTTAAAGATTTAAAACCTTTAAGACCATTATATGAATATAAATCATTAATTAATTCAACATCTTTTTGTACATGAATATTGTCATCGAATTTTAATGTATATTGAGCAAGTGGTTCGAGTGTTAAACGGTAACCATCAAATTTTGAATCCAATAATTTTTGTTGAGGACGAAATTCACTCCATTCAGTCATGTTTGTTTTTGTTGTAATTTTCTATTTGATCTGAAATAAGTCAAGAAAAAAATCAAATAAGTTTCCTGGACGGAGTAACATTGTATCTTATCGTCACATAGGAATCGAAAAAAGAAACAATAAGGTCTAATACAAAAAAGAAACACAAACAACAAGAACAGAATAAGGACAAAAACGAAGAAGAAAAAGAAGAAGAAGGCTATACAATAAAGATTTTTATTTCTTATTTAATTGTTCATGTGGCTGTATGATCAGCTATAAATGGTTCATCATCTTCATTATCATCATCATCATCATCATCCTCTTCATCTTGTTCGTCTTCAACAAGATCAAAACTTCGTTTATTTGTTTTTATTTTTGTATAACATTGATTTGAATATGAACGACTTAATTGTTGATTAATATAAAGTAAATTCGTTGAATTTGAAGATGTTGTTGATGGTAATGGGTCTTGATAAGGTATACTTAATTGTTGTTGAAATGATGGACGATGTGCTGTTGTTGATGGTGTTGATGTAGCTGAAGATGTTGAAAGTGATCGACTAGTATGATTTGGTCCAGTTGCCATTCGATTAGCTAAATCATGAAGAAATGAAAGACGTGAATCAGCATATATATGTTGTCGAATATGATCAGGTGTTAGAGTTTTTGCTTGAAGTGAAATTGTTATTGATGCTGTTTTTGTAATAAGTTCTTCAAGAAATTGTTCTAATGCACGTGCTGCAATTACCGGAACTGTTGCAGAAAGTTTACCGACCTAAAAAAAGAAAAAACAAATTTTTGTTTTTTATAAACAATGAAAATTTTTTAAATATAATTATATACTTCTTCATCTTTTTGCATTAGCCGCTTAATTCGAGCCGGCAAAAATAATGTATTCGGCTTTTTACGATTTGGCATAGATCAGATCTGAAAAAAGATGAAAAAAAAAATATTTGTAACACTTGCGTAAGAAAGACAGTACATCAATATATATTTGACGGAAAAAGAATGAGAAAGAGATATTTATCGCGTGGCATAACCACCCTCAACGCTTTCTCCCAATGTACAGTGGCGCTAGAGAATGACTGGTCGTTTAAAGCAATAATTATAACATAAAACTTTTTCCTTCTTTTGAGTGGTTTCTTTCATTGGACCAACGAGAAAATGACAAAACTACATCATCTAAGACTATTTTTAAAAGAAAATCTTTTGTTGATTTAAATATTTCTTAGAAATAAGTTAACTCATAGAACAAATGGAATTAGTGTTCTATTCTATCAGTACTAATCATTCAAATATCAAGCATATTTAGAGAAATTTTTTTTATAAAGTATTACAAACTGGTATGTTAAAATACTATAATAAAGCCTCAATAATATAAAATTAAAAATAGAATAGATTGGTTGAATATTATAAAGATCGGAAGAAAAGTTACATTTCTTTTCTTGATGTGAACTGGTACAACAAATCTACTGAAAAAAAAAGTAGATATTTTTAAATAAAATTTAACTGATATGTTGACAGAATAGTATAGGCTCTAGTTATAGATAACAATGAGATATAACTTGATTATTGCAAGATCATTATTACGATTGTTTAATAAATATGTTGCGTACACAAATGATTGATGTTAATAAAAAAATATCAAATGTTCAACTTTCAAAATGACAAGTAGATTCACATAGAAAAATCTTTTTGAATATAATGCTGGTTTGAAACCAAAGTTCCTGTGTTTGACAAGCTCTAGTATATATTGTTGATCAGTCATGGTTAATAATATATCTGTAATTCATAGTAAGTTTTTTACAAGAATACTTTTTTAAAAACATTTTCTACGATAGAAAATACTTCGTAACAAAGGAAAACTATATCAAGATTATTGCTATAGAAAAAGAAGTTGTATTCCTCTACATGTAATCTTCGAAATAGTTTCTTTTATTATTTCAGATTTGAATAAGATTGAAGTGAAATCATTTGTTCATGTCTCCTTTGTCACTGGTGATTTTATTGTTGTTTTGGAGTCCATTAATTTTATGTAAAAAACAAGAACCAGTATGTTTTCAACCTTCGGATAATAACGGTGCTTATCCATGTGAAAGTCGTCCAAGTAGAGAACCACTCAGTTTACAATATAGTAAAGTTCAAAGTTAGTTTATTTTATCCATTAAATATTCTATAATATTCATTTATTTATATGTATTATTTAGTTAGTAAACCAGCACCTACATTCGATGGCATTGCTGTCATCAATGGAGAAATGAAAGAAATTAGTTTAAGTGATTTCAAAGACAAATATCTTGTCCTTCTATTTTATCCATTAGATTTGTAAAATTAAATATATATATAGTATCAATTTCTAATATAATTTCTATCGATTTTAGTACATTTGTATGTCCAACTGAAATTATTGCGTTTTCTGATCGTATTCAAGAATTTAAAAGTATCAATACTGAAAGTATATATGTGTGCTTCTTTATCTTTTGGTCTTATAATTATATTTTCTACATTATTAGTTGTTGCAATATCTGTCGATTCGCAATTTACTCATTTAGGTATAATAATCAAGATTAATCTTTTCAAATAATCACTGGTTTTTTTCTTTCTCCAATAGCATGGATAAATACACCTCGTGAACAAGGTGGTTTAGGCAAAATTCAAATTCCACTCTTATCTGATCTTACACATCAAATTTCTAAAGATTATGGTGTGTATTTACAAGATGTTGGCCATGCATTGAGGTATAAGAAGATTAAAAAGAAAACTTTTATTAATTTAATTCTATTTATATTTAGAGGATTATTTATTATTGATGGTCGTGGTATTCTTCGTCAAATAACAATGAATGATCTTCCAGTCGGTCGATCAACTGATGAGACACTTCGACTTCTACAAGCTTTTCAATATACAGATAAACATGGAGAAGGTTAGTTGTTGATATAACCTTGAGAAAACAAAACGACGCGTTCTTTTTTTGTATTGTAGTTTGCCCTGCTGGTTGGCGTCCTGGTTCCGACACAATTATTCCAAATCCGGAAGACAAGATGAAATATTTCAGTAAAAATTATGAAACAAAAAAGAATTAAATAGTTTCCTCAATGTTACTCAATCCTTGTGATGAAAAATTTATTCATTGAGAATGGAATCTATCCATAATATTTGTGCAGTGATTGTTATTCGTTATTTTTCTTTTGTTTGTTTGTTTGTGTGGGTATTTTAGTTATATATATATATATATGCTAATTTAAAAATTGATGTAGTGTTGAAGTTAATGGATTATTTTATTTCAAATATATATATATATAGCATAACCTTTATTAGTTTTTCGTAATATCGTTTAAATTGATAAACTTTAACTTTGTAAAGAAACAAAAGATGAGGTTCATTTCACACAATTCTGATTGTCGTATATTGATATTTTAGAAGGATACCAAATAAATGTATGTTTATTTTGAAATAGAAAAAAAAATGAATGAATAAAATCTTTGATCGAGTTTATTAAATTATGTATATTAAAAATGAATTCTAAACCATCGATTGTCGAAATAATGAATTAGCTTGTGGATTACTTCCATGATCTGTAACAAATGGACTTATTTTATTGAAATGTTGTGAAACCATTGTTCGATCTTGATTAGGAATTTGATCTCGAAGTAATCGATAGCCTGGTGCTTTTGAAATACGAACTATTTTTGATGAATCAACATGAGGTGAAACAACGGAACCAACTAAAAGAAAAAATATTCTTAATATAGAAACAAATTAAGATTTATTTTTACATCGTTCTTGAAAAATACGTGTTACTTGATAGGGCACCGGCTGTTTCATTTTAAGTGATTGATAACGTTGATTTTCAAGTGAATCATACGATAAAATACGATAATCAATTTCTTTTGGTAAATCAGTAGACATATTTCCTTTGTATTTATATAGTGGATCGTTATTAATTCGATAAGATTCAAGTGATGGTGTCGTTAAAATTATATCACCTTAAAATAATAATAGAATAAATAAAATTTTTATTTTTTTTATGAGAATCAATCAATAATTTAAATTTCTTTCTTTTTTTGCTTATTCATTCGATGAAAAATTAATTAAAAGTACAAAAATAGAAATATATTGTTTTCTTTATTACCACTTTTTTTGATACGAAGACCAGTATATGGCTTGACATGACTTGAATCAATATGCTTTGAATGTAGTATTGCTTTGATAGAATCTAATTCGGTCATGAATTAATGATAATCACTATTGTAATTTTCGTATATATATATAAATATGTTTACTTCTATGTGTATACAAGTGAGTCTTGACTTTGAAGAAATATCTGACTACTGTCGATAAGATTTTATTTCAATTCTTTCTATTATAAACAATGCATGAGTAAGAGAATAAAAGAAAAACGCAAAAGTAATTCATAGTCGACCAACACTTGTTTTTAAGTGTCTTACATATTTATTAGTTACTAAATATTGCACAATAATATACGAAAAAGAAATTAATATGTTAATTTTATTATATACTTTTTTTTCTCTTTCATAGTACGTTATTTGATTTCAATTGGCAAAATAATTTAGTTTTATTACTCTTGAGTTAAAATTAAAACTTGTGTAGGAAGGAGAAGAATACTTTCATAGCTTGTTTAATTTAATGAGCAACATATGAAAATTTATTTGATCTAACTATTCATATTTTACGAATTAGCCGTTTTAGACTTTTACATTTTTATATTAATAATTTCGAGTAACTATTTATACAAAGATTTATATGATCTTATCTTACTGAAGAGAACATATAAAACAAATAGTAAGTGTAACTATTTATCATAGACATTATCTCATATCAATATAACAGGATGCAGTTAGACTGATATATTTACGATTTCGCAGAAGATGCAAATTTTTGTCAGTGTTTCTAAATCGGTGGTAAAAAAAACTAATAAAGAATAATTTTATTCTTTTCATATCGATACAAACAGTGCTAAAAAGATTGTCTGATCTGTTTTATTACACCTAATGAATCTCATCTATATGATATTATTAAATTATTCAAACGTATCTAATCAAATGATACGCTTTTCGTCTATCAGTCCATTTCAAATAATAAAACATTCGTATGACATTAAAATTAGAATGTTAAGACTCAACATCGATTAACTTAACAATACATAATACTCATACAAACGTTCAAATACATCTATTGTTGATTTTTATCCGATAGATTATATTGTTTACTTACAAAATATCTAAATATTTCATCTATAATTACACAGATTAGATAAAAACAAATCTAATAACATTATTCGGCAACATCTAACACTTGTTTTGTTATCATTATCAAATAAATAAAATATATTCGCTCAATCTCTTTTTTTTTCTTACTTAACTCAATATTGAAGTTAAAAAAAAAAGAACCCTGAACTTTTCGGCTCAAGAATTTCTAAAAATGTCATTATCGACTAAACAATAAATAAAAAAATTTATGTTATTCGCATTTTTTATGTTACATGACGAACTTTAAATAGATATATTCTCTACGCACGTGCAAATTGAGATATGAAGGACGATGAATCAGAAAGAACAAGGAAGGATTAGTAAAGACAACTTGCATAGTAATATAACGAATAGATCATACATTACAAATTGTTTTTTATTTTAAAATGATGAGTAGTATACAATCAAAAAAAAATTCATCATTTAAATGGACATCGAGAATTATTAGTTTTATTTGGATACTTCTTACGGCTTGTTTTGCTATTCTTAATATATATATATTTGTCCAACCTCAATGGATTGGTGATACATTATCAAGTCCACGTGCAGGTCATTTTGGTTTATATTCATATTGTATAAGTACAATAAATGATTATGAATTTGATTGTCAAGGAACATGGACAAATTTTTCAACAATTCTAAGTTCACCATTTGCAGCTGCTACATTTTTTGTTGGTTTCTCGGCTTTACTTATTCTTATATGTCTTGTTTTATTTATATCTTTCTTATTTTTACGTCCACGAATTGTCTATTTTATTTGTGCACTTATACAAATAATCTGTTCAATTTGTTTACTTATTGCACTTATTGTCTATCCAGCCGGTTTTGATCATGATACAATTCGAAATGTATGTGGTTCTGATGCTAATGATTATTATCTTGATACGTGTCAAATACGTTGGGCGTATATCTTAGCTATTATTGCATTTTTTAATGTATCAATACTTGCAATGTTAGGACTTTTTCTTGGATTTAAACAACCGAAAAATGGAACTATGAAAGAAGTTATTAATCCAAATCATGTTATATCGAAATATGGAGAACTTAATGAAGCATTTGATGATCGTACGTTTTCAGAACAAACAATACCAACAACAACTCTACAACGACGTTAAATATATTTTAATCAAAAAATAAATAAACTTATTATTGTTTCGAAATCTAAAATAATCTTATACTAGTAAATATATACTAAAATAAATAAATATATACATCATTCAACATATTAACATCGAAAACTAGTCATTCGAAAATTTATTTTAATAAGAGATTTGAATTATTCTTCCAGACTGTAATGAATTTAAACTACAAAAATCGTTATATCATGAAATTAAGAATAGAATTTTATTCAATTATTTTGATTGAAAAGGATTAATGATAAGTGGATTGATTCTATGTAATATATCAGACACGTTTCATTTTTGAAATAATAAAGAATCATGAATATATATATTGCTGGTAGTAATCTATAGATTATTGGATTATATATTCAGTTCTACTAATAATGATATATTTCCATATTAAAATGAGTTTATACAGTTCTATCAGTATATCAATTAACCAGGGGTAACAGACATATATATATGTATATGTCTATGTATGCTATCGGTTGACAATAACAACAGAGACAAATGTCTATGTTTTATTTTTCTTTTCTTCATCTTTCGTCAGTTATTGTATTTCTTTCAAATTTGAATATGCATCTGTTCGATAAATTACGAGCAAGTTTACGACGAAAACCACATGTAAATTATTTTATTTTTTGTATTATATTATAATTTAATTCTTTTTATAAATAATTAGAAAATTGAATTAACATTATCTCAACAAATTGAAAAATTACTTAATCAGTCAAATGTAGAAGAAGGTGATCACCGTTTACGTTTACTTAGTTTAGTTTATGAACATCGTTCAAGACAATTTCATTTACTTAATGTACCTCCAGATGATTCTAAACGTATGGAATTTGAAAGATCGATGCTTAAAAGTCTTCTTGCAATTACGTCTTCTTCCTCTTGTTCATCATCATCATCATCCTCATCATCATCAACATCACCATCAACAAGAGCAACAGTAAACGATCGAATACAATCGACTTTTCAACGATCATCTCGTCTTTATAAATCTATGCCAATGGCGACCTCTGTACATACGTCAAAAGGATTAAGAAATCGAAACAAATAAATTTCTTTTGATGATAAGCATCTATAGCGTGTATATCGTTGTAATTATTCGCGATTGATGTATTTATTATTTTCTTTTTGTTGTTTCTAATATATTATAATACACATATATATATATATTTGTATCGCCAAAATATTGATTGGCTGTTTAATACCTATTAATTTTTGTAATACAGTATCAAAAATACATTTGAACGAATGAACAAGTGAAACGAATAGTTCACCGTTAGATATCGTATATGTATATACGACTATATGTGTATAAATTTTAGATGAGGACGATGTATTGATAAAAAAAAAGACGATATGGTGAGATAAATCGCAGCATGACATTTTGTTTTTATGTCTATTCAACTATGATTTTCTATTAAAATAGGATTTACCGATTATTATTATAGAATTTGGTCAACAGCGACAACGTATTAAATTAAATAAATATTTGTTTAATATAAATGAATTATTAGAAATATTTTCTAAAACATTTCAAATATCATTCAATTTAAATAAATATGATATTTTATTATTTAATAAACGTCTTGATTTATTAACAAAACTTGATTTTACTCAATTAAATAACTATCAACGTTTTAAAATACAAATAAATAATAACAATCAGACTGATAAATGCCACTCATCTACGGTCAAAAGTGAAGATGAATTTGTAAGATATATATATTTATTAAGATACAAAAATGAATATTCTTATATAGACTTCATTAAAACAACGAATAAATACAGCCTCGACGGAAATCAAGCATGTTTCTTGTTAGTATTTTGTTTTTTTTTCGACGAATTTTATCGATTTGAGTTTCTTTTTGTAGCTTTAATCAATTCTATCTGTAAAAATTATCAAAATCTCATTAAAGTAAGATTAAATTTCGAAAGAATTAGTTAATTAGAAATTTTTAATAAATTATAGACGCTGATCAATGAAGAAAATCAATCAAATGACAATCATGTACATCTATCTGTTCCACCTGGTTTTAAACCATTATCAAAACTTAATCAAAAGCATTTGAATATATCTCCACAAAATTCTCAAAGTACTGATGAAGGTATCGATCGTGATGTTGGAAGTATATCCGTATTTGAATCAGCTCATAGTGATTATGAAATTGAAAGTGTTTACCTTGAATGTCGGGAAGATTTAACAATTATTAATGAACCGAATCCAATATCGATAAATCATAATAGTAAACTTGAATGGCGTAATCAACCATATCAATATCGTCCTCAATGGAACAGTAAGAAAATCCAACATCAACCGAATTATAATCGTGATCAATTTGGTGATAAACCTCGTGTAAAAAAACCTATTAATATTAATAAAGCACCACTACCACCGGAAAAGAAAAAGAATAGTATGTTTAAATACTTAAAAAATTTGTTGCTTATATATATTTAATAATTTCTAGTCCCATGCAAATATGCTGCTGGTGGCAATTGCAAGTAAGTTTGTTTATGAATAATTTTCTAATATTTTTTTTGTCTTTATTTTTAGACGAGGTAAAATATTTGAAATAAAATCAATTTTTCAGATTAGTTTTTTTTTGAATTTAGGAAGTCAATGTCGATTTATTCATGTTGTTTAACGAACTTTTGTTTTAACTGATTATCTTATTATGTCTGCTATTAATTGTATATCTTTCATTTGTACGTGCTAGTTTGATTTGGTGCATTCCTTTTCGTTTTTTTTTATAATGTTTGTTATCACATACAGCTGTGCTTTCTAAATTTGGAGTACGGCTCGTTCTGTTTCTGTTCATTAGTTCTTACGCTGGATCTTTTTTACTTTTAAATTCAAGTTTGTATATTAAGGCAACAAAAAAAATACAGAATTTTCTTTTTAGTTGTAATAAAAGGTTTTATTTGCTATTATTATTTTACGTTTGTATTAATGTTAGAAATAACTCTTCCGAATAACATGACAATACTAAAGATATTGAACTTTTTAATTACTTAAACTATATTTTCAGATAAATAATTGAGATTATAACTAGGAGTGATAATAGAATCATCGCAGAAAACTATTGTAAGAGTTTTTGCCGATTAAAAATCAAATATACTTCTTCCCCTGCAATAACTTATACCTTTTGGTTCTTATCCATAATGGAAATATATTATGAATAGGTTTTAGAATGATTTTGAAAACACAATTGTTCATTTATTTCAGATACAAAAAATGGTACATTCATCTAAATTTATATATTTTTTCTTATTATTTGTATTTCTTCGTTCAGAATGAAACAAAAAGAATTATTGTTGAATTCGGTGCACGACGTCAACAATTTACATTAACTGATCATCGAGTATCAACATCAGCACTTCGTTATTTAACTGGTAATCATTTTGATATTGAATTTGATAATAATTCTATATATACATTACAAATGTATAATAATATATCTTGTGAATATAATACTCTCGATGATGATCAACAAATATTTGATACAATTAAAGATATAGTACCATTTCATCGATTTCGAATTATTAAAAAATCTTTACAGTTACAAGTAAAATAATATATTTATCTGTAAAATTAAATTTGAAATATTTTTATATAGAAATATCATCTCATAAAGAATCTTCAATCAACAGTTGACAAACTTCATAGTGCAACAAATGATATTGATAATATTCAAAGTTTGTTATTTTTAATACGCAGAAGAATAATATTTTTACTAATTTGTTTTTTATCTATAGATTTGTTCGGTAGACTAAATCAAAACTGTGATGTTCTCAATCAAGTATGAAACGAGTTAGTTGTTCGAAGTATTTCGCTTTTCGTTAGATTAAAATTAGAAAAATCAATTATCGTTTCTTTCATATCAAATTTCGTAACCCTTTCAGGACGGGATTATTTTTTTGAAAAGAAAATAGATTTTAAAGAATCAAATGATTCTGTTTTTATTTGAATTTATTAATATGCTGTGTACACGATCGGATCACCTAACAATACGATGCTCACCTGTGTATGCAAGAGAATAAATCAGGAAGATACAGCGTAATACTAAGGAAGAAAATAGGTCATAATTACGCAAGTCATATATCACTGCTATAAGTATATTCTAACGTGTACACAACTACTTCCCATCGTCAATACATAGCATATTTCTTTTAAAAAAAGACTGGTATATACGGTGTACCATCCGTCCTGAAAGAGTTAAAGATCTAACTGAATTCTAAGAAAAATGAATTGAACAACTTTATTTAGTTGATGGATATTCATGGTTTAAAATCATCTGCTGACCAATCTACGTATCTTCTCGATCCTGTATGTAGAAATTATTGCAAAAAAAAAATGTTTTTTTCTAAACTTTCTTTTTATCAGTCAACGATGAAAAAAGATATCGATCTGATAAAGCCAATAGATGATCAAGATGATGAAGAAATTTTTGAAAGTGTTTCATGTTATGATACTATACCACCGGTTAATATCGACTATACACCAGCACCAATTCCATCTGTTATCAATGTGAATAAACCAGCATCATTTACGACAGATAATAATATTCAAACACGTATCATTCCATGTAAATATGCAGTTCGAGGTACTTGTCATTTTGGTGATAAATGTTTGTATTTACATGATGGTAAACAAAGGATATTTATTTATTTGTTATCTCTATTGCTCATTCTTTTCTTGTATTTCAGAAACATGTATTCAATCAGCTCGTGAATGGGAACGACGTTTGTAAGAATTTGAATTTTTTCTAACTTTGTTAAATTTAATTTCAATATACTCGTATACAATAAAACATTTTCACTAACATACGTTCATTCTATATATTTTCGTAATTGTCTGTATTTATATACCAGATATCTCTTCACTACCGCGTCTAGGTCTTAATCGTTCATATATATATATTACAGATTTTAAATTCAAAATGATATCGTCTAGTATATCTTTCTGTTAGATGGAAGAGAACGAAAGAAAAAAAGATAAGGCTAAGGAAAACATAGGTGAAAAGAATGTCAATAAAATATCCATGTTTTCTAGTACGATAAATTCTATATAAAATTTTCTTTTCCTGTGATTTACTATTATTATTTATCTCGAGTTTTTTTCATTCTTTCGATTGTTGTTTAAACAATCGTTTTCATCATAGATAATGTTTAGTCATCGAGGAAATATGTTTCCAATATTAACAACATTTGAACATAATGAAGTATGTATAATAATAATGAAAAAAAGATAAAAATTATTTTTTTTATTTCTAATCATAAAGGAAAATAAGGAAAATTATGATTTTTCATCGAAAAAATCAGTTGATGAAGATATTGAAATTATACATGATGATTGTTTGATTATTGAACCAGATATTCCAATACCAATATTCCATGATGTTTGTATAATAAAATTAAATTTAACTAAAATATATATATATGTTCATTTTTACTTTAGACAAATTCACATATATCATTAGTGGGTATTTTACCAAATGATTTATCAAAACAAACAAAACTTTTTCTTATTTACGAAAATCGAATAATGAATGTTCATGTTGTGACATCTGTTAATAATCTTGAACGACATCATCATATTACAGTAAAAATTAAATCTTATATTTATTAAAATTTTTTTTATTATTATTAGATTTCACATGTTAATCATTTTTATTCGATACCAAAACGACATTTATATCTATCGAATATTTGTGATATTCAACATATATCAATTCCTCAACAATATCGAATTATGTATATATCACCATTAAAGAAACAATTTTCTTTAGGATTTATATGTGAAAATCCTTCAGTGTATAATAATTTACGTCATTTAGTTTTATTTGATGATGGTAGTGTTGCTTATACAACGATGAATGATCATATACATTTATGTCTTTGTCAAGATTTTGAACGAAATTTTCGTTCAATTGAATCAAAATTAGTTCGAAAAGATTTTCAAGAATTATTTTTCGATAAAAATTTAAATAAAAAACAATATCAACTTCATAATTATGTTCGAGTTAAAAAATTTGATGATAAATATCATAATGCACAAATAATTGATATTGATTGTTCAATAATGAAATTAAAATTCTATGAAAGACAAGCACAAACAGAAATATGGATGCATCGACAATCATCATTAATTGATGATATATTTTTGTCACCAATAGAAATCGCAAGTCCTATTATTTTACAAAATAAACGAAAACATGATGAAATATCACCATGTAAGTGAACATTTATTATTTAAAACAGAGATGTTCATCCTTTTAGATATATGATAGAAAGATATCAGTTTTAGTAAACTACGTGTTCAATAAATTAGAATGATAATAAATTATACAAACATACATTATAAGTTGAAGTCTTTATATTTAACGAATTGTAATAAATCATACTATTTTTCTTCTATTCTTTAATTATACTTACGAGAAAGAGTCACCAACTTGAAAATCGCTTTTGAGCTGATATTTTGTGCATAAGTAGACACTAGTAAAAGCCTAAAAGGATAGCGGCTAATAACGCTTTTTCTTCGAGTTATAGTTAATTTACTGAAGTTTTAGCCTATATCTTGATATAAGAGTGAAAATCGAGTGATTGTAGTTTGGCCTGAATTCTTGTCCATGGATAGTACCAAATGTACATAGCATCTCCTGAAAATATCAGTTCAATCGAACCCTTTCTTTACAAGATAATATATTTCCAAAAGTGCTCATATTTTATCAACGATACGAGAAAATTCTTTTTTTCTAAAAACTTATTATCTCCTGAAGGAAGTGTTCGATTGAACTGATATTTGTAGGATATGCTATCTACATCTGATACTATCCATGGACAAAAGTTCAGATCAAACTTCGACCACTCGATTTTCAGCACTATATCAAGATATAGGCTAAAATTTCAGTAAACTAACTATAACTCGAAGAAAAAGCACTATTCGCCGCTATCCTTTTAGGCTTTCACTAGCGTCTACTTAGGTACAAAATATCAGCTCAAAAGCGATTTTCAAGTTAGTGACGCTTCCTCGTGAGTCTATTCGTTTGCGATTCCGACAACACATTTATCACATTCTCGAGCAAAACGCTCTTCACTTTTGCTTGTTAAATAAATATGCATTTCTTAATTTTAGTAATCGAAAATTGTATTGGATCTACAAACAATAACAATATTTGTAATGGTACAGAATATAGATGTGCAACTTCAGATGGAAAACGAAGACCAGGACGGCCGCGAAAAAATCATCTTCCACCAAACGAAACAAGAGGTAACATATCTTCCGTGAGAAATATAATACAGCTGTGATCAAAATAACTTTTTATCAATACAATAACTATATATTTGTGAATCATTTTCATATTTTAGTTTCTCTATTGCCGTCAATACACACTTTTCATTCAAATTCCTATCAACTTCATCAATGTTCATCATATTGTGTTTTGGGAAAAGAAGAAAATTTTAATCCAAATTGTTTTACAGAAAATCCGTATATATTACCATTTTCGTACGTTAAATTGTTTTCTTTACATTTATTATTTATTAAAAATTTATATTAGATGTGGCTGGAAATATTTTCATATTAATCGTTATGCTAAAGGTCGATTTACAAAAAAACCATCAACACATAAAACTACAACATCGCGTTCGAATTATTTATATCGTTCACCATGCGGTCGTTCATTTTTAACATTAGATGAAGTTGAAACTTATTTATTTCAAACAAATTCGAAATTAACAATAAAATTTTTTATTGATAATCTTTCGACACATATTGAATCATTTATTGAATATGATTCAAAATATATTCTTAATAACGATATATCACAAGGAAAAGAATCCGTTAAAATATCTGTTTATAATGATAATAATAATAATCTTCCAGATTCATTTCTATATGGAACAGAAACTCGTTCAAAATTAATACTTCGAAATGATCCAAATCCAATAACATGTTGTTCATGTACAGATAAGTAAGTTATATATTTGAAATTAAATTATTTTTATTTTTTAAATGAAGCTGTCGGGATCGACTAAAATGTCCATGTTGGCGTAAAACATTTGAACAAGCAAAATCCAATGATAATGAACAAATCGTAAGTTGGCAACGACAACATCTTTCTGATGAACAAATGATTTCACGTTTTGGATACGTTCATCAACGTTTAAAAGCTCCTGTATGGAGTGGAATCTATGAATGTAATTCAAAATGTTCTTGTCATACAAAACAATGTACAAATCGTGTTGTACAAAATAGTTTATATCAACAAATACAATTATTTCATACGGATACAAAAGGTTGGGCTTTACGTGCACTTCATGATATACCACATGGAAGGTAAAATATATTCATTTTAAAATTAAATTAAATAATTTCTTTTTATAAGTTTTATGAATGCATATGTTGGAGAATTAATTACGGAAGAAATGGCAACGAAACGTGATTTTAAATATCTAGCTATATTAGATCATACAAGTCATTTATATACAAATGATAATAATAAACGAAAACAGTCAATGAAAAATTGCTTTAATTATAATAGAATCATAGATGGTAAGGATTAAATTTCAATTTGAATTAGTTTTATCTATTAAATTCTAGAAACAAATCAAATTCCTATAAAACGTTGTGTTCGTTTATCAACCGATAGTATTAGCGATGAAGATGATAATGATGATGATGATGATAGTGATGATGAAGAGAATCATTCATGTTTTATTCTTGATGCGAAATATTATGGGTCAATCAGTAGATTTTATAATCATTCATGTAAACCAAATATTCATATACAAAATGTAATTATTAACAATAATTCTACTATAGGAATTAGGCTTTTAACCGAACGTTCTGGTTCGCTGCATGCCTAATAAGATTCGTTTCATTTTTTATTTTCATAGGTATTTATTAATTCACATGATCCTCAATTTCCTGTTATTGCACTTTTTGCATGTCGAAATATTCGAGCTGGTGAAGGTAAATTTCTAGTTTTGTTTATTTCCTATTCAAATCTTCTTGCATATGTATTTAGAAATTTGTTGGGATTATAATTATACAGTTGGTTGTATGTCTGGAGTTCGAATTGATTGTCAATGTCAAGCGTCAAATTGTCGTGGTCGTTTATTATGATTGAGTTATTTATTTCTTTAATAATTTCGATATTTTATTTTGTGCAAGATATTAACTGTGCTATATTTTGGTTTTTTTTTCTCATTTTCGTACGAATATCTAAAGTTTTTTTTCTTTCTTTCTTTTCTTGGTATTTGTTGAACAATTTTCTATTTGTGTTTATTAGTTATACATACTTTTTTTTGTTACTATTATTAAAACGAAAAAGGATTAGCTAAAAAATTAAATACTTTTGTTCATAATGAAATATTGTATTGTTATTTTTTTTAGATAGATTTATATCCGAGTATATCATTTTTTTTTCTTATTTATATTATTGTTATTCTATATTCTAGTAAAAACAAACAGAGCAGTACTTTATTCAATCGAATGATGGAAAATGTTATAGGTTAGATTTTCTTTTTATTAAAAATTAAAATTTTAGTCATTTTCTCCAAGGTAAATTAATGAATTATAAATAACTTTGAATTTGTCTTTTGCTTTTTTTAAACAAAGAAATCAAAAGGTTTTTTCTCTATTTTCGATTGATCATATAATTTTCTTCTACACAAACAGTTTTCGTTATCTGGAATGTCATTTACAAGTAAACATTAGTTTGTACAAATATGACAGATAGATTATTAATTATGCACGTTATAATCTTTTCTAATTGCATGATTACTAACAACTAGATTATATAATAGAATCCAATTATTCATACTCTTTCTGCGTACAATATTGAATATATTTTATTTTTGTAGCAAATCTCAAATCATCGTCGATATTCGATCATCACCATTCGAACGTATCATCAAATGTACTGCGCGTAAGTCTGTCAAAAACGAATGAACACACCGATACAACTCGGCATCTGCTAGGACAAACAATCAAATGCATCCGACAATCTAATTGTTCTTGATGATGATGACGATGACGATGATACTGAACTTCATGAAAACGAAGAACATACAACTTTGAAAACATTAATTCCGAAACTTGATATAGATACGGAATTAATTCATGTTCAACCAAATCTACCTATGCGAATATGTACAGCTGGTTTATTTTATTCAAATCTTCCACAAACTCATGTTATTATAGTAAATATAAGTTTAGATATTTTTAATTTGAAAACCAAAAGATATGATTATTATTTTCTTCCTCTAGGTTAATCATTCTCTTGTAGTATCACCTAAATGTATAATTAAACGACAATTATATTTAAGTAAACCTAATCCATTATTATCTCTACCAATTCGAACTCGTATTTATAATCGTTATTTATCACTATCTGGTTTTATACTTGAAAAACCTTGTGCAATAAAAAATTCCAATCGATATCTTATTATTTATGATAATTTTACTGCATATTATCATTCACAAACTGAATTTCATTTATGTCTTTGTCAAGATTTTGAAAAACATCTAACAAATATTGATTATTTAGAATTACGAACATATTATCGAGATGCATTTCGATATTCTAATCAATCTAAACAATCAAATTTAACTGTAGGTACAATAATTCGTGTACGAAAATTCGGTACACAATATCATAATGCACGTATTACTGACAAAGATTGTTCAATTATAAAAATATGTTTTTTTGAACGAAAATCTCAAACAGAAATGTGGATACATTTAAATTCATCTATTATTGAACCAACTTTAACAAAAGAATTAGATATTTCTTCGTCACCAACTTGTCAAAATTCAATAAAAGATTTAATCATATCATCAAACTCCGATTTATTATGCTTACGTAAACGGAAAACGAATGCCAATGATATAAATGAAGGTATTTCTATTAAACATGATTGAGTATAGCATGTAGAAGAACAATTGATCGCTTGTCGATCGGACATGAATAACGTACTTATATAAAAAGAAAGGAAAAGAAACGACCAAGGACGTGATTAATTAAGAGTAAAACACATTCTGACAATCATAGGAAGCATTCCGGAAGAACGGATTACAGATCCTTTTCATAGTAATATAAATATGTTTTTATAGTTAGGAACATATTTTTTAATACTTAGATAAACAAATACATTTCTTTTTATCACTATTATTAATCGATTTTAATGTTGTTTTTTTTGATGTCGCAAAATAATAATACTAATAATAGATTATTATTCTATGTGATATAAATCTTTTGACAATCGGATTAAATAGAAATTTAAGAAAAATTGATATATCGTGATAACTAATGTCATTAAACAAAATCTGCTTAATTTCAGGTACAAAAAAGCTGCGTGACCGATCAAATACTCAACGATTAACAATGCCTCAACGTCAATATTCATCATCTAGTGATGATACTCAACCACTAGTAGCATCATCACGTGCAAATATGCTTACAGTTTATTATACGAGTATTCTTCTACCGAAATTTCGTATACTTAATAATATTCCATACATAGTACATAACTGTAGCCAACAATGTATTTTATCAGTCGAAAAAAATTTTCTTCCAAATAAAATTCATATCAATCCATATCTACTTCCATTTGAATGTCAATGGTCGATTATAGATGGTAAACCACGTGGTTATCGTACACCATGTCATCGTACATTTTATTCACTTGATGACATTGAAAAATATCTTTATAAAACAGATTCACAATTATCAATAAAATTTTTTATTGATGATCTTTTAACACGTTTTACACCAGCAATTGATACATTTGATAGAAAATTTCTTGTTACTAATGATTTATCTAATGGTCAAGAAAATATCTTAATATCTGTATATAATGATATAGATAATGATAAACCAGATAATTTTACTTATGTTACCGAAACTCATTCATTTGATAATGAAATTTATGCACAATACAAAGATTATAGTAAGACATCATGTTGTAATTGTACTGATAAGTAAGTTTTCAAATGATTTTTATATTAGTATATTGTTCTTTCTTTATACTTTAGTTGTAATGATCGAATGAAATGTGCTTGTTTTCGTAAGACATTAAAACAAGCAATGCTTAATCATGATCCATTAGTAACCGAAAAACAAAAAAATCGTTATACACTATCAAATATAATTAAAAGTATAGGCTATCAAAGAAAACGATTACTTAATCCTGTATTAAGTGGTATATATGAATGTAATTCTAAATGTTCATGTCATTCAAAACATTGTTCAAATCGTCTTGTTCAGCAAGGTTTATTTGTTCAATTACAATTATTTAAAGATAAAAATAAAGGCTGGGGTTTACGAACTTTACATGATATACCACGTGGTACATATATTTGTCAATATATTGGAGAATTAATAACATCGGATGAAGGAAATGATCGTGCACAAACTATGGATGATAGATATCAAACAAGTCTTGATTTAGTTAAACAAATTCGTTATGAAATTAATAATGGAGAAGAATATAATGATAATGATGAAGATCCATATGTAATAGATGGAAATTTATATGCTAATTTAGGAAAATATTTTAATCATTCATGTGAACCAAATATGTATATTCAAAATGTCTTTATTGAATCTCATGATTTACATTTTCCGAATTTAGCATTATTTACTCGTACACGTGTTAAAGCTGGAGAAGGTAAATTCTATCTAAATCTAAGTGTCATATATCAAATTTTTAATTTCCTTTTAGAATTAACTTGGCATTATAATTGCGAATTATTACCTGATCGTGAAGTGAAATGTTTTTGTGGCTCAAAAAATTGCCGTGGAAGACTTTTTTAAGTTGAACTTTTTTTTCTCAAATAAAATGTGTCTATATATATATATATGCATATGTATATATATATGATTGCTTTGATTTTCTTGTTATAGTTTGCTCATTTTGTGTATGTGATTTTTTTTTTGTGCCGACATATCTTTGTGATAAAATTCTTTCTATGTTGCTTCTTTTTTTTTTCATATATATGTGCCGGTCAGATTGTTCGATGAGATTCGACAAAAAAAAAGATTGGGAGAAAGAAGAAAAAAAAACACGATGACTGAAGAGTGATGACCGTCATTGCTGTGTGAACGTATGAGTGCATGCATGTTCTATGACCCTCGCACCAAGGCGAAATAGGGTATGTACAGTTGGTGAGCAGTGACATTGAAGAAAGAGGGGGAGAGAAGGGTGAGAGAGAGAGAGAGAAAGCGAACAAACGAGCGAACGAAGGAGCATAGGCTCTATTCATATATTGTTTTGTTCCACACACACACACACACATATACGCACATATACACGCTCTCGTACGAACATGGAAGAACGAGTAAGAAAAAGAAAAAGAGAGTATAGAAAGAGAGATGCCGATATGATTGCTGTTGCTTGTTAATGGCAGTTCTATTCTTTTCCTTTATTCTTCATTTTGTGTTCTTCTGTACTAACAATTATGCAAGTTTTATAACTAGAGTAGAACGATGTCAATCGTCGATTATATGTATGCACATATAGATATTAGATAAACTAGTGTTTAGTCATATTTCATTTGTATTGTAAGTTGTACTTGTTTTAATGAATTATTGATTCTCAAAGGAAATATATAACATTTATTCATTGTTTTTATTCATCAGCCAAGAGAGCAGATAAGTGATAGTAATATAAATATATATATGAAGTAGGTTTTTGACAATGGGAAATCATGTATTTCAATAGTTATTTTCTTTTTCGAGAAGGATATATGAAAAGATTAGCTATTTTAACAATTACTGGAAACCGATCCGTCGATGGCTGGATAATGAGTCGGCAGCATGTGGAGTTTCCTGTTTCTTATTGCATGTTTGCGCTGTTCTTATTCATTTTCTTTTTTTTTATCCTGCCTATAACCAGAATATAAGAAAAGGTCGATGAGCTTTGAATCTTTCTTCTCTCGTTCATCTCAAATATTGACTTGTGCTTGAATAAGACAGTCGCTTGACCGAATCATACGTTATATTCTTTTTTTCTCTTTCTCTTTTCTTAATCAAATTGATCGTCGATTGAATTCAATACGGATAATATTAATTAAATTAATTCTTTCCCCGAACTCTAATCCATTTCTTTCAAGATCTTTTTCTTCTAAGAATAAAAAAAATGAATTAAAGTTTTTTTTAACAAAAAAAAAAAAAAAGAAAGAAAGAAAATTATTAAAAACCTGGCGGCTTCATTTGTTCAACAACAAAATGCAACGAGATCGAATAATAAAAAATTTGTTCTCTCGTCAGCAGCAACAGCAACAGCAGGAGCAATAGCAATAACAACTGCATCTCTATCATCATCTCAATCTCTATCACAATCGACAGACGATTCATCAACAGCAGCAGTCGTTATGACACAACCATCATCAACTTCACATCTATCTGACATTGTACGACAAAAATCTACAACAATGCCAACGAATCATTGTTCATCTATTCAACTACAAGATGATACATCATCTGCATCGAGTAAAACACGTTTACTTCAACGTATGATTTCATTAAGACGTTCATCAAGTAGTAAACCATCAACACCAATTTTATCATCTCATGTTTCATCAACATCATCATCATGTCGTTCATATAATGTACGTGCATTTGAAATAGCACGCGATCGAAATCTTCGTCATTATCCTTGTATTATACATTTTCTTGATGATACTGAACGAATATTTCATATAGATGTAAGTTAAAAAAATTATCTACTCATCAAACTTCTTCTTTTTTTCTTCTTAATTATTATTTATTAGCGTCGTTGTAAAGGAATTGATTTACTTAATGAAGTATTTGATTATTTGGATTTATCAACTGAAAGAAAATATTTTGGTTTACTTATTGAAGATTTAACACAAGATTTTGCATATCGTTGGTTAGATTCAACAAAAATTCTTAAAAAACAATTAACAACAATGTCACCATATCATCTTTATTTTAAAGTACGATTTTTTCTTACGGATCCATCAACACAAATTGACGATGAATTTACGAAATATTTATATGTATTACAAATAAAAAAAGAATTATTAAGTGGAAAAATGTGGTGTCCAAGATCAACAGGAGCTATTCTAGCAAGTTATCTTGTACAAAGTAAATAAATAGAAGAAAATGATATATATCTATATTAAATTTAGGTGAACTTGGTGATTATGATTCAAATGAACATCGACAAGGTTATTTAGAAGATTTTCGTTTTGTTCCATTTCAAAATCCAGAATTTGAAAATGAAGTTGAACAATATCATAAACAACATAAGTAAGAAGATCTCTATTCAACTCATATAATATTCATAGAATTATGTAATGTATCGTATAGGTTTCGATAGAAAACAGAACATTTCGTATGAATGTATATTAATCGGTTAGGTTTCTAATCTATTAATATTTATGACTAAATAGTAATATTAAAAATTGTCATCATTTTCTTATTAGTATTCAATGATAATTGACTTTTTTTTGAAGAATAAGAAGAAGCATTTCTTTTCTATGACTATCGACTCTGTGATGTAAAACAGACGGTTAAACAATCACATAAATGTCTTAATCAAGCAGAGGTTATACTGTTTATACACAAGAATACTATTCGAACAACAGACAAATATTAATATAGAGATACTGATTGCTTCTTTTATGTAAATAATAATAATAATATGAAAACGTTTTGAACCTCTTGAATGACCTTTCTGTCAACGAGTATTAATCTATAATATATATATAACCTTGGACCTTTTACTTTTATAGATAAATCTCTTAAATAATCTTCAGAGTGATCGATTTTGAAAGCACATCATAACCATATTTACTTATTCGATGACGTCTTATTCATAGTCCTTGGATAATATCTAGCCTCTGAGAAAAAAGACAGTCTACTAGTATATTAAGCCTATATTTCTTATTTTCTCTCAATGACATATCAATACTAATTGTTTATATATATGTATAAAATACATTAAAACATTAAGTCAATTTTGTTTCGATAATTAAAAGCTAACTAAACATGAAATTAAATCAAGATTCATTTATTAAATAGAGGTCAATCTCCTGCTGATGCTGAAGTCAATTATCTTCATATGGTGAGTTCATTAGATATGTATGGTGTAGAATTACACAAGGCGTCTGTTAAAGTATGTAGGATGTTTGATGATAAAACATTGATTTAATTGTTCAATCTATTTAATAAAGGTATCAAATACAAATGATAATGTAAATAATTCAATTGTTGAATTATATGTTGGTGTATGTGCAATTGGAATATCTGTTTTTCAAAATTCAACGAAATTAAATACATTTCCTTGGTATAACAAAATAATTTTATAAGAAAATCTAAGATAAATCTATTTTTTCCAGGGATCGAATAACAAAAATTTCTTTCAAACGTCGAACATTTTATATTCAACTTGTTAAAAATCTCGTAAGTAACACGTACATATAAAAATTCAATAAGCTAGAAAAAAATCTCACTTGCAGACGGATGATGATATACCATCACCTTTATATATCATGGTAAAGAATATTTGAGCATGGTTATTTATTGCATGTAGTTTGTTGTTTCATTGAAAAAAAAATTTGAATGTTTATTTAAATCAAAAAAAAAATAGAAAATTAAAATTGAACTTTTATTTAGAATTCACCAGATGATAATTCAATTGTATTTACATTACGTAGTTATCGTTGTTGTAAATATTTATGGAAATCATGTGTTGATCATCATACATTTTTTCGTTTAACAACGATTTCACCATCACCAAAAAAATTCTTTCAATTCACTAATAAATTTCGACAGAGGTAAATCATAATTATTCAATGATGAAAATACGTTAGTTTTTTTAGTAATGATGTTATTCCAAATGGTTTAATTATGGAAGCAAATGGTAAAAAGCCAAAGACATTTGAAAGGTTACTATTTTCTTTTTTCTGTAAAATATTTAAAACTAATATTTTATGTCTAGAGTTTCAAGCCGTAGGAATTCTCGTGTAACAAATGGTTCATCAACATTACCAGCAAATAATACCTTGTCATTAAATAGAAATTCGAATTTAAAAACAGTTCTATTTCTTTCATCATCATCAGTATCAATTTCAAAATCTGATAAATTAGCAAATAATCGTTCACCACCACCTCCTAAACCACCACGACAACCATTTAATTCAACAAAAAATTCTTTCGCAAATAATAATGCATTAATTGAAGCTAATGAATATAAACCAAAGAATGCAACACTACCACGAAACAATGAGTATCGAAACAGGTAAAAGATAGCATAAGTTACATTTCTGTTTCTTCCGTTCTCTTGTTGTTGTTTTTTTATAACACGAATTTGATAAGTGACTCTTCACAAATTCTGTTATCGTGCGACTGCCTCGGTAATCCAAAACAATTCTTTTATTTTTTTTTCTTATAGTACTGATATGCTCAACGAAACAACATATATCGATGAAAATATATCAAAACAAAATTCTGATACAATTCTTATTAGACTTCAATCGGATGATGATGGTCGATATGGTTTTAATGTTAAAGTAGTTTATTGAATTGTTTCTTGAAGAAAAACATACGATTTCTTTTTTTTTCCAGGGTGGTGGAGATGAACATACACCATTTGTTATTTCAAGAGTTGCTTTAAATACACCGGCTAATCGAGCATTACTTCAAGAAGGTGATCATATTTTATCAATTAATAATATTGATATTCAAAATCATTCACATGATGAAGTAAATTAAATTTGTTTATTTATTTTTTTTAAAAATTGAAATATTTAGGTTGTTAATATGATTCGACAATCACGTGAAAGACCATCGGGTGAATTAGAACTTTTAATACGACCTTTACAAAAATGTCAATTAACAATAAATAATGATACAGATTCAGAAGATGCTTATGATAATGGTTTATTAAGTTTAAATTCGAAAGATCCTTTAGAACAATCAGTAGAAACATTACGTGATGATCTTTCCACTGGCCATCTTATTGAACAGTATGAAGTAAGTTAAATATGAAAATGCTGTTATTTTAATACAAAAAAACAATTTCTTTACTAGATACTTCAACGAAGAAAAGAAGGTTTTACATTCGAAATAGCTACTAGTCAAAATAATTATTATCGTAATCGTTATAAAGATGTTTTACCATATGATCAAACACGTGTTATACTTAAATCTAGTTCAGATAGTGATTATATCAATGCGAATTTTATTAATGTAAGAAACGATTTACTTTTTGTAAAAATATTATTTTTGTAAATTTAATAGATGCCTATAACATCAACGGATATTGTTAATCGGTATATAGCGACTCAGGGCCCATTACCAACAACATGTGAAGCTTTTTGGACAATGATTTGGGAACAAGAATGTACATTATTAATTATGTTAACAACTTTATTTGAAAAGTAAACAGAAAAGATTAATTAATTTATAAATATTCACTTTTTCGTTTAGTGGTCGAATAAAATGTCATCAATATTGGCCAAATGTATTAGAAACAAATGATTATGGTTTATTTAGTATACGTTGTCGACGTGAACGAAAAGAAAATCAACTTATCTATCGAGAATTTTTATTTTCACATAAAGAAACTAATGAAGAAAGAATTATTTATCAAATACAAACAGAAACATGGCCTGATCATGGTGTACCCAATGATTTTTCATCTTTTGTTGACTTCGTTTTAGAAATTCGAGAATTAAGAAAATCTAATAATCATTTACCTATTCTTGTTCATTGCAGGTATATATATATGTAAATTACAAATAGAAATCGAAGTCCCCAGGGGATAGAATGTATTTTATTAGTTACATAATCGATATAATCTTTTTTTTCTTTTTACATCACTGAATATCAATACAAGAGATTGTTGAGAAAGTATTCAGCTGTAAAGAACATATTAGTTTCTTTTTTAAGTAATCATATGAAAGATTTTCGATGTCTTATTGAGAGTGTATATAATTAAAAATAAATTTATTATTATTTTTAGTGCTGGTATTGGTCGAACAGGAGTTTTAATTTTAATGGAAACAGCTCTTTGTCTTATTGAAACTAATCAACCTATATTTCCACTTGATATTGTTCGACAAATGCGTGAACAACGTTTAGGAATGATACAAACAGCTGTATGAATAATGATCATGATAATAATAATAATAATATTCTATCATTTTTTTGTTATTTAGAGTCAATATCAATTTGCATGTGGAGCTGTACTTTATGCCTATGATCAGGGATTAGTACAGATAGGCGGCAATTAAACGATAATCAATCTTATATCTTTATTTTGTGTCAGATATTTGTTTTCATATATATATCATACTGTGTATTATGTTATGCTCAAAGTTCAAATAGGTTTATATATCTATTTGTCACCGTTTATTATTTCTTCTGAAAAAATAATATTATTATGAAGACTACACTATTTTATGGATATAAACAATTCAAAACTAGAACAGTCTTATGTATGTTCATTTGTATACAAAAAAGATCTTATCTGTTAGGCTTCTTCTTGTTCTTCTTTCTATTGTGTATTTACGCTGCATTACTATGTAATTAATTGTATTTGTCGTTTTTTTTTGTTCTATAATTGACTATCTCTCTGTTTTCTGTTTCTTTCTCATACTAATGTGATTTGTTTTCTTCTTTTTGAATTGATAAGGTATAAGATAAGATAAAAAAAGCATTTTCTTACAACAAGCTGTATTGTCAAGTAAGTGAAATAGCAGACAGATTTTACTCGGTGGTAGTGTTATTGTTGCATGTGACTATCGACTTGTCATTGTTCATTGAGTTATATATAGTATGATCGTAATTAATTCAATTGATATACCTGAAAGAGTAGCATCCAGATGATTTGCATAGCGAATTGTCTATTTATAAGGAAAACGAATCTTTTGATGAAAGATTTCAACAAATTAGACATACTTTTTGATAATAATCGAAATATAAGTTATAGAGCATCTGACAGGTTACTGTCCGAGGCAATTTTATATCTATATTGTGATCTATTATCACAAGGACATCTGAACGTATGTGATTTTAATAGATTTTTTTTCAATTTCTTTATAATAATTTTAAAAATTGAAATTTAATGAGAAAAGGAAGCAATCGAGAAAGACCGAGAGGGTTCGTCAAGAGCAAAAAAAAATATATAAAATGAGTTCTATTTTGTATATCCGAAATATCAAATAAACAATGTATTTTTCGATAAGCAATCGTTCAAAAAATGATATCAATAATCATCATCGAAATCTTGAAATGTCCATATTTTAATTGTACGTTATTTCTACAATGTACGAATAATTTGATATCATATTTGTAATTAAAATTTAAGTTAAATAACAGTATTAATAAATTGCTCAAGGAGACAATGCTACTAATAGAAATGTCTCATTTATTTTATCGTTTATCTCGCTTATGAATATTTCTATTGTTTGAAGAGAGTCGGAATCATTTATAATATAATATTTCTATTGTGAATGTTATTGAAACGTTCAGTATTCGCTCTAGGAAATTAATGCATAGTTTGTTGTTTAATGGAGTACAGATTTTAGAGTAATTACTTTTGCACCAGTTCTCAATAAAGGGCTTTTTGTCTAGTCATTAATTCATCTATTTACATGTCATTGATTCTGGATGAGAGATTTTTCAATTATAATAACAGAATTTTGTTAGTTTTTAATATCTCTATCATGTGGTTTATCTATTTAATTCGTATATTCAGATTTACGACGTACGTACATCAGTTAAACATGTTTTCTTCCGAGTTGATAGCATTTTTAATGAATAGATACTCGCTACTAGATGTTTTCCTATACATAGAAATATAGAGAAAGTAATATGAACTAAATGCAACCTTATTTTAATTAAAAATATCGGTAAAGTACGATATAAGAACTTTTGTATGATACTAAATAGGAGCGTTCATTTAAAATATCATATTAATAAATTGATAATCGAAATTTGACATAGATAGGTTTGTTCTTCGTGACAGGTTATTGTTTTAGAAAAAATAATCAAGAAAAAAAAGTCATAAATTGTTTATGATGAATTGTTTTATATATTGCAGATGACATTGTGTATTTATTATATGCAATTTTCTTAGTAGAACACCTACGCCATTCAACAAGCATCTTTGTTAAAGTCTCATTTAATTAAAGTATAAAAGTCGTAATTCTGATAGGAAAATAAAATTTAGATACAAAACCTCTTATAGTATGTACTTTTTCATTGTTTTTAAAAATACTACTTATGATATTATTCTAAATGAGTTCGTTTAATGAATAGAATATACGCGCTGATGAATGATAAAGGTTTGAATAATTTATTTCTGAAGAAACTAGCGGTTTTTTATCCCTAGATTGATGAACAAAGAAAAAGTATTTTTGTATTTAGACAGATTTTTCGAAATAAGAACTATCCTACTTATTAAAATAAGTTCAATATCTACATTCGTGAAATAATAGAATGAGTATTCACTGTGAAGTATAATGTAATGAAAGGAAACAATCAAGAATATTTTAGTATAATGAAACTATAAGTATCTTAATTGTACTTATAATTAAGTCTATTATTTTTATATTCCGAGTTTGATAAAAAAAACGAGGTAATCACGTTTATTTTAAAACAAAGTAATAGTTTTTTTGTCTATATTTAATGGATTTATACACGAAAATTCCATTAACAAATAGTTCGGTTAGTAAACTGAATAGATCATAAATTTAATCGTTTATATAAATAACAGACACATATAACCCCAAAGCATCATTGCTATAAGCTTTGTTTTTACTCAAATAAATTATTATGAACAATAAAGGTCAGATTAGAAGTTTTACTTTTATTTAAATATAATTATCAAGTATTATGGAAATTATGATGTTAAATATTTATTTTTGATTACAATCATTAATATATCATTATGTATACATCTTCAATAATATTTTATCGTTCTTGTGAAAGTCTAGACAAACCAATATTCAATTATAGTCATCTTAACAGTAAATCTAATAAACTTTGTGTAGGATGATATAAATACATATTTATTAGAAATAAGAATTTGTTTACTTTAACAGTTATTGAGTTCAACGCGTTCTTTTCTTATATAATATTTAATAATGATAGTACTTTAGTTCGAGTAAAAAGTTCTTTTTCTTTCATTGTTAAAGCTATATGATAATAATTTATTTATTAAAATTAAAATTATACTCTATTATTGAATAGAAACAGCTGCACTCGAATGACACCTGTATAAAAGATTTCATCCTATAATTATCAAACCGGAAATCTTAGTATACTCATCATATATATATATTTAGTGTATCCTAGAGTATTTCTTTATAAAAAAAAGTACAATAAGTTCTTTTACTTCAATCAACTATTTCATTATTTATTTAAAATCAGTCGATATCGATTAATTTGAATAATATTATCATCATGTGATGATTGTTTTTTTCTTCATATAAATGTTTACTAATTATTTGGAAAAGTTAAGATAAATCTGATAAGGAAACTTACGGACGACTGACTTTTTTTTCTGTATATTTATGTGTTATCGATGATTACACGAATATTATCATTTGCGATTCGATAGACCCCTGCAGATAATATCTGATTGACTGATTGATTGATTTTCCTGATGCGAAAAGAAGAACGACAAATGATGAAGCATAGGATGTCTGTCGATCGATGTGTCAATATATATGTTGTTCTTCATTTGGCACAACTATAGATGTCTGTTTTCTCACTCCTTTTCTTTTATCTCTCTTGTATAGTTTATCCTGAAGTGCTGATATTTATACAGGTGTCTTATGATCCATCGCGTGATTGTACAGAACAAGTTAAGTTAGGAGTCTGCGTGGTTAGTTGACGATGAATATAATATAAACAGTTGTAAAGAAAAACTGATCACAGCAAGTAGTGTGCATCTGTTATGTTACTGTATAAACTAACGATGACAATATCCTCATGAGATGACGATATATATATGTTTAATGCCTGATAGGAACTGGATAAATAAGTATGTAGATTAGACTCTGTTTAATAGATAAGACAAAAATAGATTTATATATATTTATTTAATCAAATAGAAATTCTTTTAGGCGTTCGTCTATTATTATTGTAACATATTATAATATTAGCTGACGTCTAGTTTTATTATCATATGATTTTTTTTAAATGTGTATTTAATAAGAGTAAAATAAGTAGGTAAGAAAATCTTTTTTTCGATATTATTAAGTAAAGTTTTGTTTTCGCCTATTTGAATATTTTATTATCTTTTGTCGGTTTGTTTTTTAAAATAAAAGAAGAAAAAAAACTTTTGTTCACTCCCTCTAGTTTAAATTGAAGCGTTGATAAAAAGAAATAGAACAGAAAACGAGAAGTGATGATGTGAAAGCATATCATTACTATCAAAAATGAGGTAAGATCGACTACATAGTGCTTATAGTTACTTAGGTACTTTTAAAATTTTCTTTACAAACTTTGAAGACTATCATAAATATTTGATTGAAACGAAAGGTAATCTTTTTATTAATTATGAACGAATTAAATAAAGATTATTTTTGTTATAAACATCACAGTGAGGAGACATTCTTAAGCAAATATATATGTCAACCAAAATCAAAGGAAAAAAACTCCAATCATAGACAACGCTATTATTCTGTGTAAAATAACATAAATTGTAAGAATAGACTTTGATGTGTGTGTGTGTGCTTTTTGTAACTAGACAGATGCAAATCAAGATGATATCGATTTACTATTCCAAACATGTCTAAGATTTTTTTAATGTTTTATTAGCAAATAAAAACATATTTTTTTCTTAATCATCGATGATCTCTTCTATTCATTAGATATCTTTATATAAATACATCAAGTTCATAACTAATCCTATAAAAAGAAAGACCGTAAGAAGAATAGTAATAAAACAATTGTTAATATTATGTATATATATAGAAAAAAGGTTTCACATACGAAATTCAATATATGTAAAGAATATTGTAATCATCAATGATGTACTTTTGTCGACTTCTTTTTCTTTGCTCAGTTTCTTTTTCTACGTCGTCATTTGTTTTTTCTTTGTTTTCTGATGGCCAATTTTCGCCCGAACCAAACTTGTCTTACGCATTCTCTCTATTTTCAGTCTCTTATTCTGTGTCTCAACACAAAGACAATACTATATGTATAGTAAACTAGTTATTGATAAGAATTATAGAAAAAACGAATATTTCTTTTTATACATTATACAATTGATTACAATTATTTTTTTATTATGAATACATGTCTTTTACAACTAGTTATTACAATATTTCTTCTTTATAAATAATATAATACTAGTGGTAAGTGTCAAACAGAGAACATTTTGTCACATCATTGACAGGTTGATCAAAAAATTTTTTAAACCTTTGTCTATTTATTAGTTAGATAAAGTAGAAAATTTTTATTCTCGTGCTTTAAGTGTATATGTTTCTGGATATAAGCATGTATTTCAATTCTATATTATATCGTGATGAGATCTATAATAATTTTGTTTATTACTATGGCTGAAATTGAATCTTGGCACCATACTGGTACTTCAATATATTAAATCAGTTGATCTAGTAGTATATATCTTGAGTTATAGATTGAATTATAATAAGATCTACTTTCTCCTTCCTTTCCGCTCTGTAGTACTATTGTAATCTGATCAACAGATTCTTGAGATGTAAACGACAAAAAAGAAAAATGAAAAAAAAAATAAGAGGAAACTATATAATCTTCTTTGCTTCTTACTAAACAAATGCATACTAAAAGTTTTTTTCCCTCAATGCACTTTAGATCCAATTGAAGACGATCGATCAATCATGTCAAAACGACACGTTTGTTGCTTGAACTAATATCATAAGAAAACGTTTTTCTTATTCTCTTTTCGAAAATAGAAAACATTCCTATCATATTTCTCTCGAGTCTATCATACTGAAGTATCATATACCGATAGGGGAATAAGCACAATATTCATTTTTACTACTCTAAAAATAAACCACATTATATTCTCTTTCCTTTCATTATTAAAGAATAAATTCCAAACATTTCGAATAACTATATTATCGATATAAATCAAGAATAGGTAATACGAACAAGTTAAAATAATTCTATACTTTATATAACACGAAAATTAGTGCGTAACGCCATGTTTCATTCCTTTTTTATTTTATTTTAATGAATGCACAAAATAAATTATTCTTAATAAGGTTTTCTCTTTTTTTTCCCATCCAACGATCTTTTTCTCTTCTGCTTCTTAGAGACTTTTATCAGCTGGCTTCAATTTATGAAGCATATTTTTGTTAACTAAGTTTACGCATATGTCAGCTGCTAATGTTGTTTTTTTAGAATCATTTATTATTCTTTGATAATATCCATCGATCTGTAAATAAATTTTGTAGTGTAAAAAACTCGTCGATACTTCATGATGATGATTATCAATCAAGCAAATAATAGAAATCATATTTCAACTGAACCAACCCGACTTCTTGCTGATAGTTTATCGAATACAATGCGAACACATGTAAATAGTTCACGCACTGGAGAACTTGTTGCCGGAATTATAGTAAGGAAAAGAAAAAGAAAAAAGTTTTTTGCTTTTACAACAAACTTGTTTTTTCTTCTTTCATCCGAATTTCAAGTCGTATTCAATCATTATCTTATTAAGTATAATTGGAAATGTCATTGTTGTTACCGCCATATGTCGTGTTCAACGGCTACGTCATCCAACAAATTTTATACTTATGTCACTTGCGATCGCTGATCTACTCGTCACAACAACAGTTATGATACCGGGATTTATCTATGAAGTAAAACAAAGATGGATATTTGGTAGAGTATTTTGTAATGTATGGGTAGCAAATGATATTACATTTTGTACAGCATCTATTTTACATCTAGGTAAATCATATATATATGTATAAAATTTTTATGAATTAAATCATTTCATATTTTAGTTGCTGTTAGTTTTGATCGATATGTTGCTATTGAAAATCCACTTAAATATAAACAAAAAATGACTAAACGAATGATATTTATTATAATTGGTTGTATATGGTTGATAAGTGTTCTTCTTTCATATGGACCTGTCTTATTAGGTTTATATAGTCACATAAAAATTGATCGACAATCACCACAATCTGATGAATGTGGTATGAGACCAAATCGTCTTTATTCGATAATATCATCTTCGACATCATTTTATATTCCACTTATAATTATACTTTTTCTTTATGGACGAATATTTATAACAGCACGAAAACATTCACATGAATTACAAAAACTTGAAAGTATTATTAAGCGTTTACATAGTGATGAAAAATTTGTTATAGAAAATACGAAATGGAATAGAAATATCAAAGCTATACGAACATTAGGTAGAAATAAAGAAACTAAAAATTCGAATAACTAAAATAATTGCTTATTTTTTTTTCGAAGGTATTGTTGTTGGTGTATTTATTGCTTGTTGGTTACCATTTTTTATTATGTATCTTGGATTAGCCTATTGTGATTATAAATGTCTTAATCCAAATATAGAACGTTATATTACATGGATTGGTAAATTTTTATTTTTTGTTCTATTAAATATTTACCATGGAATTTCAGGTTATGCTAATTCATTCTGTAATCCCATGATTTATGCTTTCTCAAATAAGTAAGTTGTTGTATATTATTTCTTACTAGACTATATAATTATTGAGAAAAGAATGCATCCAATTATTTACTATTTCCGACAGAAAGAATGAGAGAGAAAACAACTATATTATATATTGTTAATCATTATATTCAGACTTAAATGACAGTAATTCTATAAAATTCTTTTTTTAGTCTACTAAAAGATCTTATTAGTCACTATTCAATTCCGTATGTCGAGTGTAACATAAAGAACGTGTTCTGTTGCAAATAATTAATTAAGCGGAAAAATACAGATGCGAATATTTTTGTCCTTGATTATCAACTAGCAAAATATCATAGATAATGAAGAAAACTATTTTTAGTTGCCAGAAATGATTAGAACTGTTATTAATAATTCGAAAATTTTGACTCCTTGACATTATATTGTAGTATCTGGAAAAATTAATACATAGTCTTTAAGTTAATCTTTATACATCATTTACAAATGTTGACAAAGAAAATATTCGGTATAGATTTCATATAAAGAAAGAATGATAAATATTCTTGATTAGTCTTTATCTCTTATCATTTTTTTTTCTAATACTTTATATTTATGGTAAAAAAGAAGAAGAATAGTTTTGTCTTACATATGACAAAAATGATTTATTAATATAATAAGTATTTATCTATTATAAATGGAATAGGCTTTTTCATAAAAATGATTTATAAAATTTTATAGTACTCGTCATTTTTTTTGCTTCACTCCATTAATGCAACTATATAATACATATAATTTGCTTATAGAAATCTTTTTTTTCGCTGTATAATAGAATTAAATGTATCTATATATGGACACAGCACGAAGATCAAGGAAGTTTTTTTTTAGTAGAATAACGCCGTAAAATGTACTATGAGTTCTCGAAACGATGTTATTAGTCATAAAATATATGGATCGATAATTCCTTTCAATGAGAACATTTTGACCTTATAAAATATCTTAAAAGCACTTATCTACATTCATTTATTTAGAGAATTTCGAAATGCTTTCTTTGAAATTCTTCATTATAATAATTATCGATGCTTTTCATGTTCGCCTGGGAATAAAATTCGTACATCTGTCAGTAAATCTACTTATTCTATGAATACGAAATTTACACCACAAATACAATCACGACAAGCAAGTGTTATACAACATTTCGGTCAAATGCCGCGTGATAGTAGGCTTTCCTATGATACAATACGTTCATCGAAAATCACTAAAAAACCGATATTAAATGAAACTATAAATACACTTGAAATGCAAACATTAACAAATCAACATTCGACAACTGAAGCTTTTAAAGAACTTGAACATTTAGTACCAAATGGTATTCCGAGTGAAGCAACAATTTCCGAAATGAGTTCATTACTTTATGATCAAGATGATACACGACCTGAATTACTACTTACAAAAAAAACAACAGAACCAATTCATACAAATTATACTTGATTATTTATGATATTACAAAAATTTATGTTTTCTCATTCCACTAGTCATCCTATTTTTATTTTGTATATGTGCTTTTCATAATGGTGACTATATTGAAAACAATACCGAGTGTATCACATGTCTACATAAGACATATATGTATATGAGATTAGTGAATTTTTATTTGTTTATATTTTTCTTACCTTTGAATAATGCTGTTTTGCCTGTTATTTTGTTATATAAGTATGAATTTTGTAGATTTTATTTTCAACAAATCAATGACATTTTAACACTGATAGTTTTCATTTTATCTTTTGCAAATTTAAAAAATGATAGTAAATGAATATGACAAGGGTATAAAAGCATAGATAAAATAATTTGTAAATTAGTAGAACATTTTTTCTTGAATGATATTCAATCTACATACTAAACATATATTTATACATTGAATTTTATGTTTTTTTTAATCTTATCTCGATTAGTATTGATTGATTTACTCTTATAATATTAATATATGTCAAAATACGAACGAATTTCGTACTCGAATATTCAAATGATATGTTGACAAGATAAAGGGTATCTCTTATTTCTTGTTGATTCCTATGCAAATTAGTAGAAAAGACAAACTTTTTGATTAGATTATATTAGACAGTAAATTTAATGTCAGATTGTCACATAAACACAACGAAATCTTATTACAATATATTTCATCAATAAAACAAAATTCTTAGAAAGATCTCATATACAAATATATATATCATGAAATTTACAAATATTTTTTTAACATTAATTTAAGTGTTCAATTATGCTTTCAAGTATTAGCACATCTGGCATCTACACTTAGGTGTTTCCTTTTATTGCATAATTGAATTCAAGTTTTAAGTGTAAAATACATACACTATCTGTTACACTCATGATTAAAATGTCGATTTGTAAATATTTATCAATACTACTAGTTAGTACACTATGTTATGTGAAAAGAATACACATAAAAGATATCAGTCAATAAATAGAGGATCAGCCATTTATATAACAATGATTAGAATAGCTATGCTATCACTATGTGACATGAAATAAGCATACTTATATTAAACGTTTATACAGTCCAAGTCATAGTTTTTCAAAATTTATACATAAAAATGCTGCGTTGACGAGAATCGATAAACAAGTTTTGAGCGAACTTTAACAAATATATTTCGAGAACAGTTTAAATAGTATCGGTAACATCATTATTAACAAATACTGTTATAGAATGTTATCGAAAGCTTTCTTCGCATCATTCCATATTCATATATGTTCAACTTTCAAGTTTGACATTACTAGAAAATTGAAAGATGGAGTTTTTTTATTTGAGAAGTTATCCAATAACACATCGAACATTACTTATTATACTCCAGAAATTTCATCTCAAACAAAGGGTATCATTTGGTGAAGTTCTCTTGTAAGATAATGTCTATATTTATATATACGTTCACATTGTCACTGTAATTTACTCGACATTTTTTCAATAATGTATGATTGAGAAGAGAAAATAAAAGATTTGTGTTTTGTCAGATTACAGAATACAATGAATGTGATTCTTCGTTTTATCGTATCTCATTCTCACACATCATCAATATCAATGAAGTTTAAAATATTTAACGAATAGAATATTAGTTTTTCGAGTGATCGTTATGCAGGAAATAAAGAGAATAATAGAGTATATTTCTTTCGAAACTTATAAGATATATAATTTCCTATAAATATATTATATAATAGCATAGTTTTTTGCAGAAATTTTAGAAATCAGAAATTGATTTGTCATTTTTGTTAACAGAATTCAAACTGCAACCATATACAGTAATAACGAATTGTTTTCAGTCATTGCCAAAGCGCACACACACATTCTCTCTCTCTTCTCCACTTGTACGAGTCTTGTGTAAGAAATAAAGTAACCAGAATAATCATTAATTTATTCAAATTGATTGAAAAAAGAAATTATTCATCCTTAGACATTGCGTCACCATATTGACACGCAATGTCATATTAATATATGAATCATATTTTGTAATAAGTATGATGAAGTTATTTACTAAAATAAAACAACAACAATATATTGCGAAATACGTCTGTCGACATCTCCATAGATGGATCTACAATTAATGTCAATGTATTTTTCTCTTTCTTCTACTATCGTAAGAAATAACGAATATAAATAAGTAAATTTTTTGTACGAGATTTTCATCATTCAATCTCTTTTTTACTATGGCTAGTAATAATGAATCTAATACGACACGTATTGTGTGTATAAGTGACACACATTCACGTTATCAGTTTGAACTTCCGCCGGGAGATATACTTGTTCATGCTGGTGATTTTTCATTAGACGGTCGACAAACTGAAATAGAAGAATTTCTAAAATATCTAAAAGGTTTAACACAATATCGTTTAAAAATATTTATTGCTGGTAATCATGATTTAACTCTTGAACCGAAATTCTATGAAGAAACATGGAAACGATGGCATTTTAGAGGAAAACAAGATTATGAATTAATCGGACGTTTAATACGTGATCCATCATTAGCTACAGAGCATGGAATTATTTATTTAGAACAACAAGAATTTATTGATCCTCAAACAGGATTAAAATTTTTTGGAAGGTAAAATTAATTTTCATCAAAAAAACATTGTATCTCAAAATTGATTCTCTTTTGATAGTCCATATCAACCTGAATTTTGTGATTGGGCATTTAATTTACCTGCTAATAGTCCTGCAATTAAACAAGTGTGGTCAAAAATTCCTGATGATGTTGACGTACTTATTACACATGGTCCACCTGCAAATATTCTCGATCAAACATATACAAATGAACATGTTGGTTGTGCTCAATTACTTGTACGTGTTCAAAAAATCAAACCAAAATTACATGTATTCGGTCATATACATGAAGCATATGGTCGTGAAGAACACGACTCAACTATATTTGTTAATGCCTCAACATGTGATTTACGTTATAAACCTCGTCAACCACCGATTGTTGTTGAATTAGCCGTAAAAGGGACGAAATGAAGTATTAGAATTAACGTTAAGCTTTAAATACATTTATATATATATAATTCAGAATAAAAAGACACGAGAAAGATAGTTACACAATATTGAAAGAATGATGATGCACTAAAAATATAATGTTTAGAAGTAAATATTAGTTTTATCGCACAAACAACAGAAAAAGAAAACAAACAACACGAAAGGAAAAAATAGAGAGAAAGAAAGAAAACAAACAAACAAACAAAAAACGTTAATAAGTTCAATAAAATGATCGAAATTGATGGAATGATAAAAAGAAAAAAGAAATTTTATTTATTATTCAAAACCTTTTTCTATTTTTCTTCATACAAATCATTGCCTATCAAAGAGTGCACGAGCAACTCGCTTTATAGCGAGTCTTGTTGCATCTTCACCATTTGATTGTTCTGGTTCACCATCCTCTTTTGATGATACTACTACTGGACCAGTAACAGAAGCTGATAGTGTTGTCTTCTTACGACTACCACGTGGTCGACGTGTTGTTGTTGATTTCACTTCATTCGGAATAGCCATTGAACCACCGGATACTGGTACTACTGGATTATTCACCGATGGTATGGCTGCTGTTTCATCACCGGATGGAAGAACAGGAGCCACTGCTTTAACTTTAGAAGCGATCCATGCTAAAGAAAAAATAATAAAAAAAAAAGAAGTTATTTCAAATCTATTCAATTTTAGTTTTATATTAAATAGTACAAGCATAAGATAAACATGCAACAGAATGAATTTTAAATGGGACAATAAATAAGACATTAAAAACAACAGACTTTTTACCTATCACGACAATGGTAAAAATAGTGCCCACAACTCCCATAATGATCATCATCTAGTAATTCCCATTAGAAGTTATTTTTTTAATGTCATTCTATTATAAGCAATAATCTTAGAGCTATTCTTACCTTCATATTTTTCCACCAGTATTTCCGTTTTAATTTACCAGCATGTTGTTCAAATTGAGCTGCATTGTGTTGCAATTTATCTTTAAAAATTAATATTCATATATATATATATATATATTATTTAGTTCAATTTATTTATTAAAAAAGAATTACCAGCTCGATCATCAAGAAGTGATAAATTTTTATCACGTTCTAACACCTTATCAACATTTTGTCTCATTATATCGACGACTTCATCTACTTGAGCTTGTTGTTGGGCTAAACGTTTTGAACCACCACCGCCAGCAGCTGGTGGAACACCACTATTATTAGTTGTCCTATGGAAAAAAAACAAAATAGAATCGAACAAAGTTTCAAAAAATTCAATACTTACATGTTATAGATAAATTAATTAAATTTTAAATAAATAATAAATTTAAAAATCTATAAAGAAATGCTGGTTTTTTTTTTATAAATAAAAAAAATGATAGAATGATGAAGATGTAATAATAATGCAAAACATAGTAAATTTCCTTTTTTGCACACGACTAAAAAAATGTTCAGAACACAAAAAAAGATACTAGATATGTGTAGATAATAGATAAATAAAATGGCATAAATGGAGATGTGAACATGAGAGAATGTTTTATAGCATTGAATCAGAAAAGAAAAAAACAAGAACAATATAAAATCAGAAGAGAAACAGAATAGACAAATAGGGATATGTTTTGTTACTTAAGGAATGAAAAAGATAAAAGAAAATAAGCATACGAGAATCACACCTTAATATACGACATACATTAGTATAAAAGTGTCTTTGAGATTGAAAGTGAGACAGCACGTTCTTAAATTAAAATAATTAAAATCATGATTACATGATTATTATATTTTTACATACCATCTCTCAATTATTTGTTCTTATTGCGTTTAACCTTTATTACTTTTAACTGATTGAGTTATTGCGACTAAAGAAAATATAATTTTTTAAATTATTTATTTTTGTTATCTCTTGATCATCTTACCAACTATGACAACTATTAAAACGATCTAAATAATAAAATAATTTTTTCTACTAGAATGAAATATTATAATTTACTTACTATAACAATGATAAGAATTATCCACATCTAAATAAATAAAAAAATCTATTTAAAAAAAAGCAGCTACAAATAGCTATCATAAAATAATCTTCCTTTATATATTTTCCCGTAACATCTCCTACCTTTTCATGTTAAAATAAAATCTCTCGAAGTCTAAATAATAAACATTTTCTTATTGAAAAATTAACAATTATTTTCTTTTCTTATATACATAGAGTTGAATTAAAAAATTTCATATAAAGTCACTTACTTTAAGATTTTTCCACCAGTATTTACGTTTTAATTTACCAGCATTAGTTGTAAATTGTGATGCACCAGTTTGTAATGCATCTGAAATAGAAATTCTTTTTTTTTTCTTAGCAAAAAAAAACAAATCGAATCATTAGCATACACAAAAACAGCAATGATTTTTTTTTATTTAGCAAATTTTTCGACTTACCAGCTCGATTTTCAAGCGTAGTTAATTTTGCATCACGTTCAAGTACTTTATCAAGATTATCTTTCATAACATCAACGACCTATACACGACATGCATACATAAACAAAACTACATAAAGCTAGAGGAAATATACTAATGGAAAGGGATAATTTTTTTTTCTCTAACGAATAACTATTTTTACAAAAGACAAAATAAAATAAAAAATCAAACCTGATTAACATCAGCTTGAAGATTATCAAATTTTTTTGATGATTGATATTGATTTGCACGAGGTGGATTTTCAAATGAAGATGCCCTGACATTAAAAATAATCAAGAGAGAGTTTTTTCTAGGAAAATTTATTGTATAATAAATTTACTAACATTATTTGATTTTATTTCTATTGATTAAAATAAAATGTAGAAATCTGAAACAAAGTAATAAACACGTCAAATTAGATATCCGGAAAGTAACTGAAGACAACATCGCCATATTGGCCTTATTGTCATATTTTCCCTGCACAGTAGGAGGAGTTTTTATGATACTAGCGACAAACAGAACAGTTTATTAGAAAAAAAATCATTCGATGAAATAAATAGTCGTATTAACCAATCATTATGAATAAAAAGACATAAGTACTGTTTCTCGTTCACCGTTACAATTTTTGATGGAAGACAATATATTATTGATTATTATTCTCATTGTAGATGTCTTCGATTAATTTATCTGATGATTTATTAAATAATTTTGAAGAATCAATCAAATCATTTATTGCCTTTCTTCTTCAAGATCCATGTACAGGTTCAAGTTCAGCTGTAGCATCAGGTTCATCAGCTGAACAAAATTCAGCTGCAGTTGAACAACATATGCGTCGTATATATGAATCAGCAAATGAAATTGAATGTAATTTATTACAATTAAAATCCTTAGTTCATCGAACATTACCTGAAGAACAAATACTTGAAAATATAACTGATTTACGAACAAATATTGAACGAAAAGAAACATTATTAAGAGAATTCAATCAATATTTAAATGATGCTATCGCAGATTTTAGTGTAGAAAATACGGAAAGTCTTAATGGTTTACTTGATGAATTAAGTCGAGGTACGACAACAACATCTGGTCTTACAAATGTAGATCTTGGTGATAATTTATCTCAAGCAACTACAAATACACAATCCTGTAAGTAATCAAGTGACCAAGGAAAGAAACCGTATCAATATATAGTCTTTTTTTATTTCAGCACTTCATGGCAATATGACACTTCCAAATCCTACAACGTCAGATTCTTCTCAAGATTCTCTACGATCATTCTTACTTTAATTAAAAAGCACATGTTATAAACTTTATTTCTTTATCTAAAAAAAAACAATCGTGAAAAAATGTAAAACATTGAATTATATATTTTAGATAATTTATTTTGATAAATAATGGATCGGCGTGTTTTATGCGATAGTTTAATAAAATGGGTATAGAAAATATTTTTGTTTTATTGAAAAAAATTAAATTTCGATTTGTTTAAAGATGAAAACATTAAATTTAAATCGAACAATAAATGGAGCTGGTGATCTGTCAGATGGAGTACTTATTGGGCTATGTTTGAAGAATATGTTTGTAGAAAAATTGAATTTATATCTTAGAAAATAATTTTTATTCTAGTGATGCAAATCATTTTAATGATGCTTGGATACAGAAAATTCGTACTGATGCTGGAGATAATTATCGAATAAAAGTAGAATGATAATTTTTTATTTACAGAAGGATAAATATATATAAATTTTAGGCTAACAATCTCAAAAAAGTTCTCAAAAATATAACTGATTATTATTCTGAAGTTTGTTGAATTTTAAAATATAATATTTATTTTATTATTTCTAATCTTATTTATAGATACTTGGTCAAACTCTTGTTGATTTTCAAATGCCCGATTTAAATATGATCGGTAGAAATTAATTATAAGTTTTATTTTTGTTTATTCTACTAAATTTTTATAGCTGAAAATATTGATGAAACTGAGCTTAGTCGACTTTTACAACTTGTTCTTGGTTGTGCTGTTAGTTGTGATCGAAAACAATTTTATATCGAACATATTATGTCAATGGAAGAATCTGTTCAGCATGTTCTTATGAATGCTATTCAAGAAGTAATCATAGATAATCTTAATTATGATAGATAGAATTAATTTTTATATTATTTAGTTAATGGTTAAAGAAAATCGAAAAAATAATGAAGAATATTCCGAATTAGGAGATCAAGTAAATTAATTATTATTTCATTTTTAAAATACAAAATTCTATTATTTTTAGTTGAAACATGCATTAGCAGAACTTAATCGAGTTGTTGAAGCAAAAGAAGAAATTGAAAATCGTTGTCGTGAACTTGATCTACAGGTTTAATAGAAATTCGTTATTTCAAATATATTAAAAACTCTTTTCTTTTAAAGATCTCTACACTTCAAGATGAAAAATTAAGTCTAATACAAGAAACAACACAATTAAATGAACGTATACAACAAATTGAGAATTCCGAAGATTCCGAGTAAATAAAAATATTACAATATTTATGCAAAGATATTACTAGAAAAATTGACTTACTGTCTCTTCGCTATTTGGTCTAAGTCGAGTGGATTTTCACCAACTGTAATAACCCAAGATTAGTGTAAAATGCATGTGACAAATTAACGTAATATTATCAGAATGAGCATATTATAGTCTAAACTAGTGGCGTAACCAGAAATTTAAGGATGATGGGGTTCAGCCTCAAAACTGTCTAGTCTTTTGGTTCTTTTGATTGACAAGTTCAGTAACTAAAAAATCCGGGTAATGGGGTTAAGCCCCATCTGGCCTCAGTATAGTTACGCCACTAATCTAAACCCTTCAATATAGTTACCAGGAGCTATCTTTATACATATGTAATCACATAACGACAGTGGCGAAATTCGAGAAAACCTTTTTTCTTATGAATTTTAGTTCTGTTGCAAAAAGTCGTTATAAAACTTTACAACAACGAATTCAATCTCAACAAGAAGAAATATTCAAACTTGAAACAGGTTTACTAATAAATAATAATGTTAAATAAATTTTTAGTTTTGTGTTTATAGGTTTACAAGATTATAAAGCAAAATGCGATGATTTACGTGAAGATAATGAAAATCTTCTTAAAAGAGTAAAATTTTTATAAATAGAAAAAGACAAATAGTTTTTTTGTTCTATGTTAGAATGATGATTTAATGGTACTAGCAGGTGATGCACGAAATTTTAAAGATGAATTAGATATTCTTCGAAATAAATGTGAAAAATTGGTTTGTTTAAAACTGAAAATTTTATTTTTTAAATCTAATTCTTTTTTTAATTAAAGACGAAATTAGAATCAACAATTGATACATATAAAATAAAATTAGAAGAAATGTCTGATCTTCGACAGCAAATAAAATATTTAGAAGAAACAAATTTACGTTTATTTGATGAAAAATCTAATATCGAACAAGAATATAAACAAGCAAAATTATTACAAACACAAGTTGAATTTCATAAACGAACAAATCAAGAATTATATCAAAAAATAAGTGAATTACAACGTTTAGCTGATAAAGCTGAATTTGAAAGAAATCGAAGTGAAGAAAAACTAAATGTTATTAATGCTGAAAAATTAGTAAGAAAATAAATTTTATATAAATTATTTAATTATTTATTTATAGAATTTAATAAATGAAATCGAATTATTAAAAGAAACAAATGAACAATTACAAGCTGTTAATTTAGATGAAGGTTAATATTCATATATTTTTGTTTTTTCAAACCTTTGAAATTTTGTTTAGTTACTGGTGATATTAATTTAAAAGATCAATTCACTGGATCACTTGAAGATCTCAATTTTTTTAATCTACCAGCTGATGTTAGGTAAATAAAATCGCCCTACCAGAATTTCACGCAATGACAAAAGCTTGTTAAATGTATTGGCGAAACTCTAAAACCTCTAGTTTTATAGAAAACACTTCATAGTAATGAGAAATGATTTTTGTTCAGTAAAACTAACGAGAAATTTTTCTTTCATCTGTATTGGATATTGATCGATGTCTTTTTTTGAGGAATTCGTCAATGTACGTTAATGTTATTCAAGATAAATATTAAATTATTCCCTTGAGATTTATGATAAATGACTTTCTCTAGTATATAGTAATTATTACTTCAATGAAAATATTTTTTAGAGAACGTTTTATTCGTTTACAACATGAAAATAAAATGTTAAAATTACGTCAAACAGAAGAGAATAATAACGAACAAATTTTAATTCTTCAAGCTAATTGCGAACAACTCAAAGATCAAAATAATCATTTAACAAATGATCTCTGGTAAAAATAAAAGTCAATTCATTTTTGCGGCACTTCATTTGTTTGTTATTAGGATGTCAAATCAAAAAATTCTTGAATTAGAAGCTACACTTAAAGATACAACATCATTAGCAGAAAATACAAGTGAAATAGCTGATCTTAAAAAATCTCTTAATCGATCTATGGCACGTTATGATGAAGAATCAACACGAACAAAAAGTCAAATTGATGAATTACAAAAACGATTAGATATTTCTGGTATATATCTATATTTTCTTTTGATAAATTTCTAGAAAAATCATTATTTAGAAAAACAATTAATTGAAAAAGATACAATTATATCAACAAAAACATCAGAAATTAATGCAATGGAAGAACGTTATGTTCAATATTTAGAAAAAGCAAAAATGATCTTACGTCAAATGGATCCACGTAATACAAATTCAATAAGTAATCAAGAAATACAACTGTTACGTAAACAAATCGATGAAAAAGATCGAAAATTAAAAGAACTTGATGTAAGAATTTTATTCTTAATTTGTTTTTGTTAAAATTTAAATTTTTGCAGAAAGAATATGAAAAAATGAAAGCAATTAAAGAAGATCAAGAAAAATTATTAATTAGTGCATGGTATTCATTGGTATGATTAAAATTTTTCAAGAAAAAAACAAAAAGAAATCCTTTTCATTTTTCAGGGTAGTACATTTCAACGACGTGAATTTGAAGAACGTTTAAAATCTCATGAAAATCAATCATTTCTATCTAAACAACGTAATATACCATCAACACGTAAACAATTACCAACTGATCCGTCCAATTCATCATTAAATGGAGTCAATAATACGAACTCAAAACGATAGTCTTTCTCATACAGTGGCGTTTTAACTTTTAAATTACTTTCTGCATTTAATAATGTCTTTTGTGCACTATTCACTCAATTGTATATACATACATAATAAATCTATTTCTTTTTTTTGTCAGTATTAGAGTACTATTATAATAATAATAATTTTATAGATGTTAAAATTTACTCTATATAATCATGTTAAGTATATACGTTGTAGTCATGTTATTTTACAGCGTTTACTTTCGACACAATCATTACCATCGAAAGTAAATCAGTCAGCAGCTTCACCTGTTGGCACAGGTTTAAGCACAGTAGAACCATCAAATAATCTTCCAATTCTTTATATACCAAGTTTAATGTCACGTATTAAAATGAAACTTGGTTTACAAGGAGAATTACGTGAACCACAAAATGTTTTGTATCAAGCATCAGCCATATCATATTATATGATCGGTTCATCAGTTGATTATGATGCAATACAACGTGAACTTGATATGCCAGATGTTTTTGCATCATTTGGAAGAATTGTATTTTTACATATTTGGTTTTTACTTGTTCGTTATATTCAATTAGGTGAGAATTCTATAATAAATCAAAAAACGAAATTTACAAAAGATTTGAGCTTTTCTAGTTCTCTTTCTCGTAGAGAAGAGACCAGTAAGAATAAAGTGTTTGCTTGTCTGTCTGCAGGGTCAAAAAAACATCGAAAACCGATTTTTCGAAAAAGACATTTCTAGAGATATTTCGATGCACGGACTTCGAATCTGATGTTAGTGTTTGCAAGTTATATAAGCAAATGGTCCCGTAGCATTGTAGAACACCATTTCTTCGAGAAAGAGCTAAGCGAGTCCTTAGACAAGCGTTACTTGTTATATAATATGATTTTAATTCACAATCAACATTATATCATAAGCAAATATAGATTAACTCTATCTCTAAACTAATTATAGTCTTATTACTTAACTGTTGTGTCGGATTTCCTATTTGACTTCTATTTTTCGGATAGGTCCTACTGGTTTATTTCTTCGTCGTCAATTAGCTCGTACAATGTGGACAGATCTTGATTTACGTGCTCAACAGATTCTACCTGGTCAAGCAAAACAACGTCGTCAACAATTTGCTGAATTACGTTCGGAAATGAATGCATTTATGTTAGCATTTGATGAAGGTCTTGTTGATGATGATACGGTATTAGCTGCTGCTGTATGGAGACATTTTTGTCATTTTCAACCAACTCCACTTGATCGTCTTGTTAAAATGGTAACTTATATAAGAAAAAATATTCGACATTTAGAACAATTACCTGATGAAAATTTTATGAAAAATGGTTATGTCTATTTTTTACCATTAAATGGTGATACTGTTGATACAAAATTTGTTAATCAACATTATCTAGATTTTAAAAATAAAGCTGAAGGAAATATTCGAAAACAATAGGAATTGAGTTATGTATTTGTAGTGTGTCTTTCTTTTTTCTAGATAAATAAATATGACAGAAACATTTGATCGGTTAACAGAAGCAAGTCTTGCACAAAATATGGATAATATTTTAGAAATTCTATGCAAAATTGGAAAAGGGTAAACAAAGACAAATCTTTATATCTCTTATCTTTGTAATAATATAGGTCATATGGATGTGTATATAAAGCAAAACATCGAGAGACTGGACAACTTTTAGCTATAAAACAAAGTAGATAAATGAAAATATTTTGTATTTATAATAATTCGATTCGTTTTGTTTAGTACCAGTGGAAAGTGATTTACAAGAGATTGTTAAAGAAATTTCAATAATGAAACAATGTGATTCACCTCATATAGTAAAATATTTTGGTAGTTATTTTAAAGATTCTGATTTATGGGTAAATTAAAATTATGAATAATTTTTAAAAAATAATATTTTTTTTAAAGATTGTTATGGAATATTGTGGAGCTGGTTCCGTATCAGATATAATGAAACTTCGAGGAAAAATAGTAATGAGAAGGAATTGAAAAGCAAATTGAATTTAATATTTTATTAATTTAGTTAAATGAACAAGAAATAGCTGTGATATTAAAATATACATTAAAAGGATTACAATATTTACATCTATGTAGTAAAATTCATCGAGATATTAAAGCGGGAAATATTCTTCTAACAAATGATGGTCATGCTAAACTGGCTGATTTTGGTGTTGCTGGACAATTAACAGTAAATTTTAAAAAAATTTTAAAGAAAATAATTGTGTTGTTTTATAATAGGATACAATGGCAAAACGAAATACAATGATTGGTAAATATTTTAATAGGATTTATTTTAAACTAAATGTTTCTTTTTTTAGGAACGCCATTCTGGTAAGAAATGATACGTTTATGAAGATTGATTAAAAAAACATATTTGATTAGGATGGCACCGGAAGTAATTCAAGAAATTGGACATGGTGTTTTAGCGGATATTTGGAGTCTAGGTAGACGATTTTAATAAAAAACTTATGTATTTATCATTTATTAATAGGTATTACAACTATTGAAATAGCTGAAGGTAAACCACCATACAGTGATATTCATCCAATGCGTGTGAGTTATTAATTATAATTACGAAGAAAAAAAATGATTATTATTATTATTCAGGCCATTTTTATGATTCCATCGCGCCCACCTCCAACATTTAAAGATATGTCACGATGGACACCCACTTTAAATGATTTTGTCTCAAAATGTCTCGTTAAAAATCCTGATGCACGATCAACAGCAACTGAATTACTTAATGTAATTTTAATTTCATAGATTTTTTCCAAATCCCTCTTTTTTTCTTTCTATTAGCATGAATTTATTCGTAATGCTAAAGATATTAGCGTATTACGACAAATGATTGATGAAGTTCGTGAAATTCAAGAACGTCAAAAAACAACATTACCATCAAATACAACAACATTCCATAATGGTATATTAACTGAACGTCCATTTGTTAATGATGGTACATTAACTAATAAGAATCAAGAAGAAACAATTGTTCCTAAACATCAACAACAAACATTTATTAATACAAATACAAATCGACAAGATACAGAAACTGATACATTCCAATCAAGTAGTTGTAATACAATGATTGAACTATCATCCGAATCTTCAGACACAATGATTATTAATGAAAATGGAACTGAAACAGAAAATGATGCTGATAGTCAACAAGAAACACTTAAGGTAAATCGGGAGTGTGGATAGAAGATGTTCATAATGATTTTGCTTTTCTTAGATTACTAATAAACAACAAGTAACTAATATAAAAATTCCATATTCAAATCAATCATCAAAACGACCAACAACTGATAGAACTAAAGAAGATTTTATGAAATTAATCGCTCAAGAAGTACGAGCATATAATAAAAATGAAGATGATTTTCAACATGTATGATTTATTTATTTATTTTTGTCATTTTCTTTTATTATTATGATATAGACGGTTGAACAATTTTCTGTTGAACAAATCGAACAACGTTTAGCATTACTTGACGAAATAATGGAAATTGAATTAAAAGAAGTACAAAATCGTTTTCAATCAAAACGAAAGCCAATTTTAGATGCAATTAAATTAAAAAAACAAAATCAAAATCATCATTAATTCAAAAAATCAATCGTCTTTCTCATTGATTTTATAATGTATAGTGAGATAATTACAATCAATACTTTGTCGTCTTCTTCTTCTTCTTCTTATTCAGAGAGAAAAAATAAAATAAAATAAATGTATATAAGAATAAACAAAGCAAAAAAAAGACACGAAATATTCAGTTTTTAATCATCAAGTTGACATAATAATGCAACACCGCGTTTTATCCAATGTTCTGCGGGTTGATGTGTTGGCATAAAAACAGCCATAACGAAATTCGTTGAATGACCTGTTGTAGAAAGTACACCACGACGTTCACTTGTTTTGTATACTGGAGTTTCGTATGTTCCGTCTGTATTTAAATCATTTGTTTTTATTGGTTTTACCCAAATAATTGGTACAGGATCGTAGAGAGTCTTAGGAAATTGTTCGTCAAGTAAACCTCTAGATAAATGAAAAAAATTCGAGTAAAAATGAAATTGAATATATTACGTTTCTTGATTCCATCGGGCACCATCTACATAAAGGCCATGGATATATGCACCATCAGCTGGAGCTGTATCACTTTTAGTGATTTTTAAAAACTAAAGAAAAAAATAATAATTGAACAAGTAACGCTCGCCCAAGGACTCGCTTAGCTCTTTCTCGTAGAAATGCATCCTCCCCACATTTACTGACAAAACAATTGAAAATCGTGAAAAATAGGTTTTCGATGTTTTTTTGACCTTTATCCCCTCCTCACCATGGTCACCCAACAGACTTCAAATTTGAACTCCCCGCTTCAAAATGTCTTTTCCAGAAAATTGGGTTTCGATGTTTTTTTTACCCTGTGGACAGACAAGCAAGCAAACAAAGGAACAATTTATTTCTGCTGGACTATTCTCTACGAGAAAGAGAATGAAAATCTTTTTTCTTCTTAATACCTGAAATTCAAAAGCTAATAAATCAATTGGTATTGTATATTTTCTCGCATAATTTTGTTTAACACCAGTTAAAAATGCTTGTGTAAAATAGAAACCAGATATCCAGTAAACAGGTGGTTTACCTACATCATACCATGTCTAAAATAAACGATAAATAAAATAGTTTTTGTTTAAAATTTTCTTGTATTTACTCGAAGAAATTTAATACGTTCTAATAAATCATTATAATATGATCCTAAACTTTTTAATGATGGATATGATTGTTTAATCCACATTTCTGGTTGTTTACCAATCATTAAACTATTTGCTAATGATTCTAATTCAACATTCATAACAACTAAACCTTTTATAGCTTTAATAATATTTTGTAAACTTGATCGAATAACAGACATTAATCTATAAAATAAATTTTGTTATTTTTATAAATTATAATTTTTTTCTATTTACTTATTATATCTTTCCATTTCTTGTACTAAAACTGTATTCATACTTTCATTATACTGTGTTGGATATTTTTTCATCGCTTCTTCCAAATTAAAATTATTTGGTAACTAAATAAACCAGATTATTTCTTTTTATACAAAAACAAAAGAATATTTTTACTTTTGAAAGAATATCATTTGCAATAGCATTTAATTTTTTATCTGTATCTCCACCTTCACTTGTTGTCGAGCCCATTGTCAAAAGAATTGAATCAAATAAAAGTCTTGTAGCTTGTAAATCTTTTGATATATCAACATTCTCATGCATACCAAATATTTCAGGTTGTTGGGTTAATGGTAATTGTTTGATAAATTCAACATAGTCATCATATGTACCTTTAGGTGGAATATAATAAAGACCACTGGGCGATAATTTATGTTTGGGTATTTCAGCAACTTGTGGACTATAGAAATCTGTAAGAATTGTTCTTAAACATCGGCGATCCCAATCATCGGTTACTGTGAAAAAAGAGAAAAAACAAAATAAAGATAAAGAGATTTTGAACAGATAAAGAAACTTATCGGCCTCCGTAGTTACATTCACCAGCCATATAACGAATAGCATCCTGAATGAAAAAAAAACATTTATAGATTTCTATAAGATTTGTTTTTTATTATACTTACGTATGGAACTTCAGTATATTCATTAATGAACATCTAAAATCGAATTGAATGAATTAATTTTACGATAATAATAATCAAACATACTTGAAGTTGTCGAACAGAAATTAAAAGATCGGATTCATTAAAACCATATGGAATATTAAATCCTTGTGGTCTTAAAAAACAAATAATCATTTAAATATTTTTATTTACAAATAAGATAAATATTTCATACCCAAATTTTCTTCTTTCTTGTGCGAGTGCATGGAAAAAGCAAAGACCAAATAAAAGTCTTTCCCAAACAGCTTCTTTTCCTTCATCGATCTTATTAAAAAATGTTGGTTCACATATTGGTGCATTTAAATACGATTGTAACATATTCATTCGAAGACCCGTTGGTGGTTCATTGGTTAATTCTATTTATTTCAAAAAATTTATTTTTATCTTAACTCAATAAAAATTATCTGAATACTTACTAACACCATTTTGTAAGATTGTTACTGGAAACTAATTAAAACAAAATATGATAAATAAATAAATGAATTTATTCGAATTACTTTTGGTGATGGGTAAGATGTTAACCAAAGTCGAAATTCTGGATTTGTATTGTCCGCTGCAAAATCTTCACAAATTTTTTCTAATGTTTGCATCCAACTAAATTAAGAAAAAATATGAATACAGATTAAAACATTTCATTCGTTGTTTTTTACCTAACAGCTAAATGACAATTTTGTAAACAAACCCAACCACCATCACTTTGTGCTCGTTCAATCATTGCTGAAGCAAATGGACCCTATTTAAAAATAATAAGACAATTCTTAAGATATTCATTAAATATAACAAACTTGTCCTTGACCAAGTGATATATAATGAAATTTTTTATCATAAAATCCTCGATCCTTAGCAATTTTAACTAATTGAGCCATTGGATCAGCACCCGGTGATAAAATAAAGACAATTGGTGCTAATGAATGAGAATCATTGAAACTTTTAGCTAAATCAAATGGTGGTGGTTCAACAAATTTCTGTCCGAGATTTTTTTTAACATATTCAATAACCATTTGTACAACTTTATCTGGACGTATAACACGAACAACAGTCATTTTTTGAAATTGATCTAATTTTTCATTCCATGGTGCAGGTAATTCAATCGTCATAGGATCTTTTGAATCATAGATTGCTTTGAAACTTTCAATATTTGTTTCAAAACTTTCGCTAGAAAAATAAAATCGAATTTTTTTTAAAAATGAAACATTTTTTTTATTTTGTTTTTACCGAAGTCCAACAAATTTTGGTGTATCAGATAGACGACATAATTCATCCCAAGATTTATCAGAAAGCCATCCTTGACCAGGATTTTTATGTTTATTTTCTAAACCAATACCACCAGTTAAAAAGAAAAGATATTCACCTTTATCCATTTCTTTTCGAGCACTAAAAATTTCAAAATGAATTTATTATTTGTTTTTTTGCTTCGAAATAATATTTTTCTTACAGCATTATACTTGTACATAATATAAATGAAAAGAGTAATTTATCTTTTTCAAATAATGATCGACAAACATTGGTATATAAATTATAAGTAAAATGATCTTGAAGATTTTTCAAACGACGAGCAAGAATTTTTGATTTCAAACTAAAGAAAGTTCATTTGAAAATTAACTAAAACAATAGAATTATTATTAAATACCTATCATTAATGGAATTGATATAGAGATTGATAAACCATTGTAAAGAATATTGATACACTAGAAAAAAACAAAATTATTTTTATTAAAGAAAAACTCGCGAAAGGAAACGACATTTCCTCAATAGAAATTGATGCTCAAGTGAAAATTATGATACAGAGCATAGGATAAGACATTTAAAATGGTAGAATCCAGAAATTAACAACTGATTGGAATAGGTTTAGTTTTAATAATATACTTACTAGGATCGATATTTGGTAGATCATTAAGGCAGAAGAATAGAATAGCTGAATATTCAGCAATTGGTTTATAATCTTGTCTAGATGCTTCAATTTTTTTTGCTGTTTCTTCAGCAACTTTTTGTTTTTTAGATATTTCATCGGAAATTAATTTTGATGAATCAAGTGTTTCAATAGCAGCTTCATCTTCTAAAATATTTCCTTCGGATGAACTAAGTGTAAATAAAATTTTATCTTCAGCTTCTTTTAATGCACGTTGATTTTCAGCTTGTGTTATAATTAATGCTTGACGTTCTTCTTCTAATTCAGGGCGTTCTTTTGCAACAACAATACCTAACAAATAAATAAATTATAATAATTTTATTATATTCATAAACAGTATTTTTACCAAGTAACTGATCTTGAAGACCTTCAGATGTAATCATAAAATTAAGTAAATTAACTTTCGTTGAAATTTCTAAAAAAAAGAAACTTAATTAAAATCACTTTTAAATGAAAGTGATTCTTTTAACCTGGTAAATAATGTGGATTTCTTAATTTCGTTGTAATAAATAATTTAAAATCTTGTGAATATTCAATAATTTTATCACCCAAACGAATCATTTCAACACCAGCTAAATATTTTATTTTTATTTTTAAATTCTATTCATTCTATTCAAATTTACCTTGTTTAAAAACATTTTTAAGTAAAATTGGTTCAAGTGATGGATCTAAATCTTCACCAACATTTTCAATCAATAATGGCAAGCCCAATTGAATACAATTATCTAATTGACGCATAAAATCATTATCAGTTAATTTAACAACTTTTAAATTCAATGGTGTATAAGTATTTTTTATCCAACGATTTGCTTGATTTTGTGGATCAATCATTAATGGCCAACGATTTGAATTCTGAATTGTAACTGCATTATCAACTGAAAATGAATCTTTTGGTAAACCATTTATATTCCAAGCCTAAAGAAACAAAAATCAATAAGACTTTATGATTAAAGAGAGAAATATCATACCTGGATTTTAATTGGTTCACCAAGTGTATCAGCTAATGAATATTTATCAGCATCGGAACATGGAAGTTTC